TTCTTTGGTAAGGAAACACTTAGTGCTCTGTTAACAGCTTCACATTTTTGAGTGTTGAAATTAAATTTCATTTTCATTAATGCTTCCTCGCTAAGTTTCATTTTTAAAAGTTCCTGCATTATTAACTTGTCATTGTTATCCATATTCAGGTTGGTTAACTTATTCGCACCCAAGTACATGGATCTCAGCCACCAACAGTTTGAGTGTCCACCACCACACACGTATGAACTAGTGGGACATTTAGAGCAGTCACCAGTATAACAACGCACAGTAGCATCAAGCACTCTAGGTAAGCATTTTTTAATTTTTTCCACATTTCCAAAGTTTTCTTTCCACATTTCATTGAACACTAAGCTACATCTGGCTTTCAAATCTTGACTTAAAACTTTCTGTCCTTGTTTTTTCTTTTCACGTGTCGAACCAGGAAACATATTCAAACTAAAATTTGCAGAATTACTTTGCCGAAACTGTGAGCGTCCTAGATGAATTGGGTCAGCTTGGCGTTCAACTTTCCACAACGGGTGTAAAACTTTTAGTGCATCATTTATACCTTCTGCTCCACGTCCATCTCCATAGAGCTAGGCTCAAGCTAGCAGCCACTCGCTAGCAGCCACTCCGCTAGCAGCCAGTTTTCAGATATGTCTATAAACCCAGAAGTTGCATAAGACTCAAATGTTATTTTTTATACTATATATAACGCATTTTTAATTTAACAATCGAAGACAATATGTGCTTCTCATATATGTTATGATGGCATGATACTAAACCCCTAACGGGAAGGATTGTGCCTGATATTCATATGATGAAGACATAATCTTTCAATCAGTTTAATTGAAGTCTGGAGCTGGCATGTCAGTTAACTGCTAGTAGTCTGTTGTTATTTATGTATTATTGTCATTTTGTTTATTTTCTTTGGTTACATCTTCTGACATCAGACTCGGACTTCTCTTGAACTGAATTTTAATGTGCGTATTGTTATGCGTTTACTTTTCTACATTGGCTAGAGGTATAGGGGGAGGGTTGAGATCTCATAAACATGTTTAACCCCGCCGCATTTTTGCGCCTGTCCCAAGTCAGGAGCCTCTAGCCTTTGTTAGTCTTGTATTATTTTTAATTTTAGTTTCTTGTGTACAATTTGGAGTTTAGTATGGCGTTCATTATCACTGAACTAGTATATATATTTGTTTAGGGGCCAGCTGAAGGACGCCTCCGGGTGCGGGAATTTCTCGCTGCATTGAAGACCTGTTGGTGACCTTCTGCTGTTGTCTGTTCTATGGTCGGGTTATTGTCTCTTTGACACATTCCCCATTTCCATTCTCAATTTTATCTTTTAATTATTTAGATATTATACATATAGATATATACATAAATAGAAGCAATTGAGTTGTGTAGTACTGGAATATCCAAGGCAAACTAATAATATGAGTTCTCTGTATGACTGAATGATTCAAACGATGATCCATGTGAAACATATCCAGTCAAAAAATTCATCGTCCGGAACTTTTTTCAAAAACAAATCCTACGCATTGAATAAATGGTAGGTTACTCTAAAATGATCATAACTTTGGAGCATTTTTTCTCTTAAGATATTTTTTGAATCAACCCCATCGACCTATTTTTTTTACAATGAAAATCCAAAGAAGTAAATGTATTTTTCGGTTATTTAATGATATTATAGCTCTGAACATTTATTATTCTCTAAAATGAAACTGTTGTGTGTGCTGATATAAAGAATATTTCAATAAATTCCTTTGAAATTTTGAGAAAAGAGTTTCATTTTATGTATTGAAATATGTAACAAGTGATTATTTAAATCCCCTCTGGAAGGCCTCTGACAGACTGAGTGCTATGCCGTTTAACACTTGAAATTATAACCATGATAAACCATAAACTGACAACTACCAGCAAGAAAATACCATTTTCCCACTTTCTTCAATCGTTGAAAACAAGGAAGCGATATTTCTGAATCACGTCAACGTAATTTTCAGTTCAAAAGACATGGCATGCCCTTTTATAATAATACTTAATATAATATGATATACATAATAAAATTTATCATGTTTTTTTTTCAGAATCAAATAAACAAAACTTGATTATAATAACACGCAGTATAAGCAAAAACGGCACACTTGTAATCTATATATTGAATGATTTAATTCAACAATTGCGGTGTTTTACAGGAGCGAATACAGAAATTGGAGACATCCTTCTTCAAATGGTGCAGATCTATCTCTATAGTGCTGTATTGAAGATGCAGTACATAACTATCAACGCCATGAGTGGAAAGGAGCACACTGGAGGTGAAGTGATCTTATGACGCTACTTTTGTAAATGGCAGCAAAATTAATCATAATGACGTTGCGCACGATGTTGGTACCAATTCCATTTTGTTATAGATTAGCATAAAAATAAATACGTAGACTGGTCAGTTCGATAAAAATATAGTGATTTCTGATTGAATTCATTCCATTAGACTTGAAATTAAAGAAAAAAAGGAACCGAAATTTAAAATACCAGGAATTATAACACTTAATTATCCCATTTTTACGCAAAAACGTAATGTCCAACGTTTCATTTTGTGTGCAAAAGATCAAAGTTCCGTTTCTCTCCTACGGTATTTTTTCTCTGATCATCGTAAAACTTCACAATAATATTGCTATTGTTATAATTATTCGCGTGTTAAAGCAAAATCAATATCACTGAAACCGTAATCCGGAAAATGTTATTTTTGTAAACGGTCTGAAAAATGTCCAACCGTATGCAAAGTAAGTATATTTCGGGTTTGCGCATTTATACCGTGAAATGGAAAAAGCTGAGAGAAAAAATACTTATTATATTTTGAAAGTTTTTTTACTTTTCTCATGGTTCATGATATTTTTTTGCCGGAAACCATGCGTATAGTTTCTATTGCAATGACTTCAAAAAGTATAGCCATCTTGTCCCAACGAAAAAAACGCTGTATTTTCTTTAAAATTGAGGTTTTAACCAGCTGTCTATCAAATAAGCATAGTTAGATCATAAAAAATAAAACTTGGCGGTAAAGGTTTTTCTGTTTTTCTTCTTAAACAATATAGTGTTTAATATTTTTTCGTTAGGCAACAAGGTTTTTAGATCGTTTCAAAAAGTATAGCCGTTTTGTCCCAACGTTCGCAAAACGTAATTGATGTCATGCTCTGATTTGTAATTTTATATCGTAATTATTTGTTTCCAGTTTAATTCGAATGAAAATAAAAATACATGTATAAATTACAATACAACCAATGTATGAGAAAGGAATAGTTAAGTTTAAATTCAATTGTTGACCAAATGAGATCGATATAAAAAAAATATCGGGATCTTAGGGTTTTTTTTTTTATAGCATATTTGTTTTATATAAGGAACATTGTCTATCTGCAAGTTTTAAATCGTCAAAAGTAACATGTATATTTTTTTTGTTAATAAAATAAAATAGAGAAAACCCATTGCTGGCAATTATAACAAACAAAGGATATGCCACAAATATACGGGAATGAGAAAATTTAAAACATGAGTCCCGAATGTTTAACTTCCTAAATATTTTGCGACAAAGAAAGCATCGGGAAATGATAAAATATAGAAAGGAAACGGAAACGGGAAGAAATGCAACAAAAGGAATAAATATGCAAAAAATAGGAGAATATGAATTCAAAATCTAATTTATATTAAAAATAAATCTGTGTAAATTTGGACATTATTGTATCGGATTCATTAATGCGAACTGCTGCCGAAAGGAAAATTATCAATTATGGCCTGGAAAGAGTGACAACTCCTGTAAATGAAATTCATTAAAAAAATATCTATACGACCACTTTGAGTTTTATTTGTAAATTTATGCATTTTTTCAGACAAACCGAAATCGGTTACCAAATTCACAACAGTAAATTGACATCATCAATAATATGCTTGAACGCCTGAAACTTTCTTTGAAATCGTCGAAATCGCCTTATTTTGAGGAACGTCGTGAAACGCTAAGTAGTACCAACATCGTGCGCAACGTCAATATGTTCAAATGATCAAAATCAAACTTAAAATGACAGTTAAAGAAAATGAACGTAACAGCCTTGTTGACAAGCTGATAAAGTATGGTGCTGATATGAGTTCTTTTTAATAAAGATCATTCAAAAGAACGACTTAACGAAACATGTTCTGAATTGCTTCACACTTCGTCCGGTCGGAGCCTTTTATACATGTAGCTTATTAAACGGTGTGTGTTTTGTTTATCGTTTAGGGCAAAACAGTGACCATTTTCTGCATACATCTGCGTCATATGTTCTGCAGTTTGCATTTTTTTCTGATTTGCAAGCATACCATATCTTCCTATTCTATACTGTATTGTATAAGATTTTCATTAAATGCTAGAACTGGTGTTGAAAAAAAGTTATCTAGGGAATTTTATTATCAGCCAGAATATCGTAGTTCGTTTACGAATCAAAATTTGAGATGATTTATGCATGATGCAATTTACAATACTGCGTATTTGGATAGACATATGTCCCATCTTTCAAATGTACTTAAAATTATTTGGACAAAATGAAATGTATTCGTATAAATAACTTTTATTGCACGTCTGCTGATTTAACAATTTATTCGGATTACACCTATAGTCCGAGTATTCTTGTTATTAGATACTGAATTTCCATGGATAATTCAAAGCTCAGTAAAAATTAATTAAATATCATAAGTAATAACCCTTACGTTATGTTTTAAGTACATTGTATTAATATGAAATTACATGGTATAAATCACGTGTTTACTTATAATTGCCCAGCTTTCCGAAATTGTGCTCATTATTCAATATTTATTTGGATCATTGACACAGTTACTTGAGTTTCTGTGCCAGTCTGTTTAACCTGTCAGTTTAAATCTTCATTTTTAAAAATACTTTTCCACTCCTAAATATGCCCATAAAAGATTATTACTAACGGACCATTACACAGTTATTTGTTCTATTAAAAGAACGACGTAATGCTTCCGTAGTTCCGGACGCCATTTTGTTCTTTGACAACAACAATTTTTATCTTATGAAACATAAGACTAACTAAACACATATTTCTAAACAAAGTATCGAAACGCAAAAAAGCCAGACTTGATCTTAAACATGTGAAATGAATTATTTGAAGCTGTGGAGTGCTTGGATAACAAACCACATTTACAGGTAATTACGACATCTTTATTTTTGTAAATGTAATTGTTGTGATGAAGATGACATTTTAATCCTACTTCAGAATCAGGGTAAAATCCATTGCTATTTATTAATTCCATCATGAATAAATATATTAGGCTGATTTTTTCAATCATTCAAATTTAACATGCTTAACTTTGTCATACACACACAGCATATTTATAGCATTAGATACGCATTTATCTAAAAAGAAAAGAACTGTATGATTATGATTAACTTAACTGTGTGTAACTTAAATAAAATATTTTTAACTATATTTTGTTTTTTAAACGGACATACACTATACATTTACAACAGAAACATAGAGATTTTCAAGACAAACCACCACAAATTGTTTGTTGGTACCAAAACTGGTTTTCCGAATTGTTGCTTGTGTTTGTTTCAACGTATTGTTTGTAAAAGAAGTCGGATGTTGATATTTGACACAGAATATTTTCATGTTTAATACTGGTATTGTTGTCAAGTTTATGCCACGAGATACATGTTAATTTGATGACAGATTTGTTTTTAATATTCTAATAATAATCTTTATGTCTGGTTGTGTTGAATTCCATTTTATTTACTTTTATATATGCATAAGTTAAATTGTAACTAACCACATATTACATAGGTAGCTTATATGTTATATGATATTAGTCCTCACGGTTGATATATTGTTAAAAGGAGGCCAAGTGTGTGTGTAACTTAAAGATAATATTTAAATCACAAGGAAGTCATTTTGTTTTATGAACCAGTACTCTATCTCTGTTTAATTTAATTCGTTTCATAATGGTGATATTCATAATTATTTATGATCAGATTTGTGTACTTGTTTCTACTGTAACATTAAAAACTGAAGAAAGACTGTTCTGAAAGGTGTGAATGCTTTTCGGGTAGTTTTTCCCTGTTTGAATATCAGTAAATGTTTAGATCCCGATAATCTCTAACTTAATGATACTACTGTAACAAGATGGTCGGCTTCAGCTGTATGTAGAGAGAGTTGTTAATTATCTAACGCATAATGTTATCAAAATAACGGAATTGTTGTTGAATTCAAATATTAAATCGAATTTAAACGGATCGCAAACTTTTTGAGTGATTGCAGTTCAGGAACAAGTCTCCTACTAAAATGACGCAAGTGGTTTTAGATCTTCTTTTTTTTTTATTTCGTGCTTTTGTGTATTTTTTTTTTAACTCTTCAATGTTTGTATTATGTTTTAAACTTTCAATTATTCTTGCATCGAATTGAAATTGATTATTTCTATTTTTTGCGTAGGTTTTTTACAAAAGTTAATAATAATTTATTTGGTAGTAGTAAGTGAATAAGTATAATCACGATGAGATTAGTTTATTAACTCTAACAAAATGAAGATGTACACCGATATTTGACGGCCAATACACAGTAGGGCCATCCAAACGTATGGAGGAGGTCTTATGCTGAGATATTGTAATGGTGCGATCATGAAAATAAGAAACGTTGGTATGATTGCCAATGAGACAACTTTCTTCCAGAGACCAAATGATGTAGAAGTTATCAGCTAAAGGTTACCGTGCGTCCTTCAACAGTTCTTTACAATTTACTCTCTGTGATGCACACGGACCTCAATGTAGAATATTTTATGTCATTCTTAAGAACTTCTGTGTAGTATTTCAGTCATACTAAAACTACATTGTTTGCTGCTATGTCGGCACACACACCGCTTTTGAAGTATCTGAAGTACATTTTATTCTAAAAATGGAAGTATTATTGAACTGTTTATTCTTTTCTTAATTAAGATAAGATGTTATTTGAAAAACAGCAATATTTTTACATTTATCAAACTAAAAATTAAGAGATTTTTCCAAGATTTTTGCCGTTTTTGCTATTTTCACTATAGGATGAAAGAGCATTTTAGATGCGTTTCCTAACAAGATTTCCTTGATAGAGGCTAAATTATATAAAGAAAGTTTCTATATCAGGTGTGCAATGTGGTAATGTCTAGGTCATCCCTTTGTAAGTTTTGCGGACGCCATCATGATTCAGTTGACCGTTATGAAATATCTGTGTCACCTACGAGTAAGGATATCGTTTACAGGTTGCACTTCTGTAAATATAGACAATGCAATTTCCCATAGGAACTCCCTTTACGGCTAAAAATGTGCCACTTTCACTGTGAATTTTCGTGAAAAATCATATCCTAGAATGGAAAGTTGATATGCACTACTATTTTATTCAAAGGTCAAAACATAGGGCTGTGCGGAATATTTTCAATATGTATATGCCCCGAACTTCTAGGAGTTTAAACTTATACTAAAATTCTGCACTACCCCTCCTTTACTTTGGGTCTTCCTCAGAATTAAATTTCATCGCTACCATGTGCATTTATACTGTTAACATTCCCAAGTTATGTTTCTATGAGATCAAACATAGAGATCATATCTGGGAATCAGTACGTAAACAAGACAAAATATCTATGAATATAATATATCTTCCCAGAAGAGGCGTGGTTTGTGAAACAGCTGTATTTACAAAGTGCAATCTACACTCGTTGTAACCGCAATCCCATCCTCTTTGATATTGACATTGTTGAAAGCTACTCGTCATGGATTTGTATTTGAATTTTGTAACTGTCCGGAAATCTTACTTGAAGTCAATTACCGGTCGGTGGTCAGATGTTTAGCAGCTGTTGTTTCTTATAGAATCAACTACATACTGATTGCCATGAAATGAACTGCTCAGTACTGAACTGACTGCAAGCAATGTCTAAAAATGGATGTATTTACAACAAGAAAATATCTGAAGATGTACATAGCAGTTCTAGTTTTTAAATTCATTTACTCTCTTATCAATTTTGATGCAGGTCATTGATTGTATGTAGATACACATTTTGTACTTGGATAAACTTTTAAACTGATTTTCACTATTGGATTCATTTAAAGCATATGAATTTCATTATATTATAGAGTTCTACATGATTTTCATAATACTTGTTCATCCTAAAAGACAAAACATTTGAAAGGTCAAAATTTATTTAACAAATGAAGAGTGGTATACTTCTGTTGCCTTTTTTCATAGACTAAAAAGAATAAAAAAAGTATAGCCAAAGCCTGGCAAGGAATCAGAGCTTTGCATGAAGGAGATATATTCCTTAATTTAAGACAATTTCCAAAATTGTGTAACGGCAAATTTCAATAGTACAATATCCATATTTTCATGCCAGTAACGAAGTACTGGCTACTGGTCTGGTGATACTCTCGGGAAATATAACCCACCAGCTTAAATATCGATCAAGTGGTAGTAATAATATCAACAGTACCAATTGATAGATGTGGGGCCATGAAAATCATAAGAAAATATTCTATGGTTCACACTCTCATGTTAAAGGAACAGTGTTTTCTATACTGACGCCTGATGTAATTAGTATGATTGAAAATTAAACTGATGTATGTATGCATACGAAATAATAGGTGTTCTATGTTATGAAAATAGCGAGATACAAATTTTAACCGTAAAGAAATTAAGTATATATACTAGATAAGCTAATAAAATAAGTACCTCTTAATATATTTAGTTTTAACAAAATGCTGTTAATTATCTTCAAGTTTATCGATACGAGAGAACAGCCTATAACGACATGAATAAAGATAACAGTAGTTTTCCGATGTATCGATGAAGGAGGAGACAAATCTAGGTCACAAACAAAAATTGAGGAAATCAACTAAAAGGAGTAAGACTCGATGAGGCGACAGTGTGAGCGTCTCTTACTATCATGATCTGATTCAATACTTCATATGAAAGTCTGTTTCTAAGTTTTGTTACAACAAGTCCTGCACACGAAAAGTAATCTCAGAAGGAACGGACGTTGCTGGTACTGCTCAAACACGTTTTGAGATTATAGATAAACTTGAATATTTCACTTCGTAATCAGACCACAAAACAAGTGGAGATGTATTGAGCAAATAACTCAAATTCGTTTTATGATTTGGGTTTGTCAGGGGATTTTCATAGCAAAAATCAACTCCACTTGGTTGTTGTTGTCTCTTTGACAGAGGAGTATCAAAGCCGTTTGTCACTGTCAACCGTTTCAGAGGCATTTCATCAATTAGACGTTTGTCGATAGATATGAATTATTATTACGAAAGGGATAATTCCAAGGAAACTCAAGTGACAGAAATATCTCAAGATTTTAAAAAGGCAAACAAGTATCCGAGGAAATGGAGGACTTAAATTGTACTCGAGTACTCGGCCTTCCGAGCGAGTACTTGAGTACCTGTTGCCAACAGTGGTTTAGATGGTACATATATACGACTGTAACTAAACGCGTACATTCACAACATAGCCTTTTTAAAAACAGAGTTTTCTCTACTTCTTGAAAGTATCATTTAGTTGGTGTTTGACAATGTGTACATGCTAATTGATATATCTTATTTTACAATGATTAAGTCGGTGATTACGATTGACACGCGTTAATTAGCCACATATTATTAAGTTGTAGTTTTGGCTGCTCGATCCAAATTATTTTCATATTAATTTATTAGGACTGTTTGGGTTACTCACCCAATTTGTCAATATAAAGGAACTATAAACAACTGTCATACAAGTGGGATATTTAGGTAGCTATTAATCCAGGTTTAACTTACCATTTTCTTCCGAAAATGCCTGTACAAAAACATTATATCACGCTTGTTTTTCATTAGTTCCGTTGGTTGATAAAGTCTAACGTTTGATTTTTTCAGCTTTTATGGATTTCCCTTTTTTCTATTAACCTTGGATGTCGTTGTTTTTGTTATACTTTTTTCTTCAAAATTGATATTGCTTCTAAAGTAACGGAGTATACACCATTGGTATCTAGCAAATTTATCAAGGTAAAATCTATTTGGGTTGAAATTTTAAACATAAAAATGTGACACATATATTATATAAATAAGTCATACACAAACACCATATTCAAAGCTATAAATACACATTTATGTAAAAAACGAAAGAACTTTATTTTAGAATTTTAGCTTTATGTTAAGTTTAAACAATATTTTGTTTTTCACAAGTGCATCAATGTATAATACATTTACAACAGAAATAAAGAGATTCTAAACAAAAACTTCCATATATTGTTTACCACTACTAACTCAGGTTATTCGAATATGTGTGCTTCGTTGTTGCTTTTCTTTGTTAGTAAGAGAGGTAGGTTATTGGTGTTTTCAATAATCTGTAATCATGTTTAATATTTTTGGTAAATTGAAGTCCTCTAGATAGTTGTTAGTTTGATTGGTAATAAGTCCGTAACAATTTGAATGTTTTTCATCTTCATATGGTGACAATATTGTGTTGCATGAAATTGTTTTTAATTTAATATATACCCAAGTTAAATTGAAACTAACCAAAAATTACACAGGTTGTTTAAACGTCATATGATATTGATCATAACAGTTGATATCTTGTTAAAATGAAGTTCTTCTTGTCTAGATGCAAGATACAATATTTGAATCATCATAAGGTCGTTTTTTTTAATATTGTTTTACCTTACTTAGGAAAGTGGTATTACTGCATAACATAAGAGCAAACTGTATACATCAGTTGGGGTTCGACTCATCAGTCAGTCATTAGTTGGATAACAATTACCAAAAAGGCAGAGCACATAAGGACTCGATATGTGAGTACTCGCAGTTTCTAATTTCTAGTTGCAACCTCAATTACAGCAAATAAATAAAAGATGTTTTGTACAAACACGTTTGTCCTTTTTCGTTCACACGCAAAGCATTATAAAAAGGACTTTACCTAAAAGTGTTATGATATAATCAGTTTTACTTGCCACGCAAGTGTTATGATATAATCAGTTTTACTTGCCACGCAAAGCATTATAAAAAGGACTTTACCTAAAAGTGTTATAATATAATCAGTTTTAATTGCTATTAGATGATTATGCAAATTCAACAAATCAATACACCTTGCTCAACAGGTGCTACTTAATGTTAATCATCAACTAAACAATATCCTTGAATTAGTATTTTTGCATCAGATCGAACGTTATAAACTGAATCCTGATTTTCAGCAATAATATCAATACATGTAGACTCTGTTCCATGTTCCATAACAATTGATCTTATCAATATCATATGTTCCATTTTTGCATAAATCTAAGGTAAGATTAAGTATGTTCGCTCCTCTTGTTTTAGAATTTTTGCCAGCTTTTCGGAATCCTCTGGTTATATCCATTTAGTACCATTAAAAATATTTCCCTGCTAACACCTACTTTTCTTTTCATAATTTTATTACATATAGTTTAAAAAGCCATATTTGAAAATCCTATAGAATCCTTGTTATTTTTTCATAATTTTTTAAAGAAAAATGTGCCAATGTTAAATGTATGAAAAGTCTAGAGAGAATTATTTCCCGCCAAATTTTCAATGGCTTATATCTCGAAAACAAGCTCACGGACCCTCCATTTTTTTCCTGCTTTTTTAGTTCCTTTATTTATATACTATCAATTTATAACAGTCTTTAAAACAGCTTGTTATTTTGAAACAGAGTAGCGAACATCCTTAAGACACACTTTGGTAGTTTTTTTTTTGTTTTTTTTTTTTTTGCTACAGAGTCCAAATCAGTTACATAAATTATTGTTAAACGGCTCTTGTCGTTAAGAATGTTTTGTTTTTAGTTGGAAAAGGTTATACATAAAGTTGATTTTATTGAAATGAAATCCGCCTTTCGTTCGTTTTAGTAAGGTCTATGCAATGCAAGGAAATTCACTATGGTGCTTTATAACAACTTTCACAATTGGAGCTTTAACATGATCCTTTTAAAAATCGTATAAATTGTTCGTTTCACCAAACAAAAAAGTACAAAGTTTGAAGAAAATTATTCCAGGCAAAGACAAAGATGTGACGCATCTTAAAAAATGGGAAATGAACTCGGGTCTTTGTCAAAACTTTTCACATATGCCCTCATGTCGTTGTGTTTTATACAAAAATCATATGCTAACACAGACCCACCTATCATTTGTATACATACATAAATCTCAGAAGAAATTTTGTTTTTAATTATAATCCCGAAACCACAATAAATGACCCGGCTTTTTGTTGTCCACGAGTATAGTTCCCTTTAATTACCGGTATAGTGTATATTTACTTATTTTTTTTCTTTCCCTTTCTCATTCATTTCTTTGTTTTATGGGGGTGGACTAGTGCTGTACATTACTCACACAAAAGATTTGACAAAAAGACTAGGTGCATTTTTTTTTAATGAGACAAAATGTTATAAAGAACTATTAGAGGCATTTCAATGTGGTATGTGATCTATACGTCAGTAACATCAGACGTCCATGTAGAAAATATAACTCCTTTAACTTGAGACGATGAATCGTCGAATTTTAGACATGATCCCTATATATGACCATGTTAATACGGGGAGTCTCAATATCGTTCAAGACCGGTAGGTGAAAAAACTTTTTGGAAAAAAGGACCAAAATAAGAGACGCTCTTTCATCGTATTGTAAAAGATGATTTTTTTTTATTCAACAACAAATTGCACTTCTTTGATGTTAACAATGTTCTTCACTTTAGCTAGCCTAGCATTCCAGCAAAGAGTCACTTTTTGTTTATACCTGAAATTTTTACGTATTGTTTCCGGAACATTTTTGGCCTTTGACTTTTTTTAAAAGTGTTTTATAGCCTATTCACTGGTATGTCTAAATAAAAAATTATTAGTAGTTTAAAAAGATTAAGATCTATAAAAGGGGATAATCTGATAAAAAAATTTAATTAATGTATGAATGTTGTGGAAATTTGAATATCACATTTTGAAAAAAAAAATAGAAATGAATGAAAGAGTGCAATAATCACCGTTTTCTTAAATAAGAAACAAAATTCAAGAAGTCCCAACTCCGTTTGTGTTTGTATCGACCGAAAAAGCAGCCAACACTGAGACAGTGGTATGACGTAGAATGAAATTATAATGTCTTCTACATTCAGGTCATTGCGCACAACAGAGATACATATAGTAAACAGTGATAGCATAATCACATCACAGCTTAAGGCCTCTCCAGAACATTTGATGCACCCTATGTATTGGTTACCATAACCTACACACAAAAAAAACGTAAAATATGTTTTCATCTCGGCCTCTAGTAACTGTTCTACAACTAATCTTTCATTGTTTAACTAGTTCCTTAACTACTACAAAAACCCTTCAAATGGTCGTTTGAAAATTTTAATTCCAAAACTATTTGCAGCAACTCATTTAAATCCGTCTTCTCTAATGAGAAAGGTAAATATGCTAGATAGATTGTATATTTAAACGGGTTATAATGAGATGATTGAAGCTATTAGTTTTCCGCTTGACAAAATTTATGTACGTTTCGGTAATGAAGTGTATCAACAGGTTGTAAGTATTCCTTTGTGCACAAATTGCGCTTCTTGAATAGCAGACTTATTGTACTGTTATGAATCACAGTTCGAAATTTACCCAAAGGAACTTTCTTTAAGTAAATTAAATATAAACGGTTTTACATGGGCAACTCTCCATAAAATTTTTTCTCTTCTATAATAAATTTAATGAGATGAGGTATGATTGCAAAGGAAACAACTATCCACCAAAGTTCAAATAAAGTGGATGTGAGCAATTATAGGCAGCCTCCAACAATAAAAAAAATTACCCATACTATATAGTCGGCTATAAAAGGCCCCGACATAAAAAAATATGAAAGATTTCAATTGAGAAAACTAACGGCCTAATTTATAAAACAAAAAAACCAAATGTGACAGACATGAACTAACGACAACCACTAAACTACAGGCTCCTGACTCGGAATAGGCACATCAAGAATTTGACAGGGTTAAACATTTCTGTGGGCGCTCAACCATACCCCTAACCTGGGACAGTGGTGTAACAGGACAGCATATGAACAAACTATAAACAAACAGTTGAAAAAGGCGTTACTCAACAGATGAATACAAAGAAGAAAAAACATAAAACATAAACACAGACTAGATTTGGCAGGGTACTGATCCATCCTCATCCCTTACAACAATAGGACACCAATATAAAAATAAGGAGATGCTGTATGATTGCCAATGAAAGAACTATCCGCCAATTTCAAATGAAGTGGATGTGAGCAATTATGAGACAATCGTTCGGCCTTCAACAATGAGAAAACCCATACCGTAAACTAAGTACAGATCTGAGAGTACTCAGTAATGATATTTTTTTCTTTTTTTTTTTATGGGGATGTTCATTTTGCAACATCTTTCTATGTTTATATATCACAACTCGTTCGCTATGCCTGTGTCTGAAGTGACGTCTCGGATTTCAATGACCGTAATCTATGTATTACCGGTTACTTATTAAGTCAGGGATTTCGTTACCACAAATTACTAAACACCTTTACTCAATTCTTCCATACATACAAATATTTGGTTTGGATGTTTGGCTGTACTTGTAGAAAAAGATTTGCACAACGATACTAATATAAGATGGTATTATACGAAGATGTTGTTATTAAATCGTGTTGACAAATATTTCGGCTTAACAAATAGCCTTCTTCAGGGTCGATAATTTTAACAATACTGTATTGTTAAAATTATCGACACTGAAGAAGAATATTTGTCAACACGATGTTATAACAACATCTTCGTATAATACCATCTTATATTAGTATCGTTGTGCAAATCTCTAGACTTGTATAATTTTTTCCTTATCTGCACAGTATCGTCTATTCTAGACGATCTGGTACATAGTAAATTTTACATTAATTGTCAAAATCCGGATATGGTGTACAAATGTTTGTACCTCATGTTTGCGGTATCTTTTCCGCAAGTTTATTGTTTTCTGTTTGGTATTAAATTAATAATAAAGATCCATTTTGTTACATCTTGTGATCCTTTTATTTGGCAATCGCAAATGGCAGTCAGCAGGGTTTAAGAACATCCGTTGTTCGACCTGTTAGTCAAATGCGTTTTGTTAAAATATACTTTTTCCCTTTTGGAAAATGTTGTTTGTGCTGTATTTAGACCCCTCTACCAAGAAATTTGTTTTACATGCACACGTATAAAAATTGCGGTTTTTGTCCAACACAATCGTAGGTTTGAACGTTGTTTTCAATTTAGACTTATATATATATGGATCAATTATTATACGAAAAAATGGACCATAAATACGGAAATGAATTTGCAATTTACATACGTCAAAACTGGAAACGATTTCTTGACGATTGTTTTATAATTTGGAATTCGGATATATCTGTCTCAGATTTTCATTCTGAATTAAATTAAAAAACTCAATAACTCAAAAATAAAATTTTGAATCATCACCAAAAAGTATACAGATCTTTAGAGTAATATAACTAAGAGTGTAAAGTTTTAAGCAATAATCATGAATCGTTTTTGAGATACGGCGCGACATGTGAAAAAAACACACCAATGTTTTAGTTACAAAGTCCCGTAACTCAAAAAGTTTAATCTTATTTTCACCAAAAAGTATACAGATCGTTTGACCATCATAAGAAACAACTATGTTAAGTTTCATGAAATTTAAATAAGTTGTTCTCAAGTTACGGTGCGACATGTGGACGCCGGACAGACAGACAGACAGATGGACAGACGGACGCCGGACATTTGTATACCATAATACGTCCCGTCAAAATTTTGACGGGCGTATAAAAACGATTGAAAATGGGACGAATGGATGGAAAGACGGAAAGACGGAAAGTAAAAAAACAAACCAAGCCGCATATGGGATGCGCCTTTTCCAAACTTGGAATATCTTGGTTACTTGTATGTCCATTGCGCGATAAAATTTTTAGTCTACAACAGTATGTTACGGCTTTGGGTTTGATCGCTTTCTGTCGGGCCTTTCAGATATCCCTATTTGTTGGTGGTTCTCCGATAGTGTTGCGGTAACTCTGAATGTCTGTTTTATTTGTTGCATTGTGTGATCTTCTACTTAATTGGTGCCGTGTCCGTACCATTTTCTCATTGTTGTCAAAGTCTATTTTGTTCTATTGGAACTAAAAAAATATATATACAAAATATCAATTAGGACATTCGCAACTTGTAAATATTCTGTAAAAATTGTCGCTCAATACATAATTAGATTGAACATAAAAACATTAACGGGACCAATTATTTTTGTGTCTTTTTAAGTATAAAACACGCGCACATAACGGAGGCATCCGAGGCAACATAACAGACTTTGGATAGACATATGCCGCCCTTGTCAAAGACGTAAAAGCATTGCATGATTTAACTTTTACTAATAAATTTTTATTCTATTTTTTTCATTTTGCCAGTTTTACATATGAAGCTAGAATCTCCACTTTTGAAAATTTTAAATAGAATATTAAAGACATCCCTTAATTTAAATCGTAGTCAATTGAAAAAAAAAATAAAAGCGAATTTAAATTAACTAATGTTTGACAACAAAAACTTGGAAAATATCGTTGCAGTAAATACATATAGGCAAAGATTTTCTTTTTTAATTCCAATTCAGTTTACTACTGGTAACCATGATGTACAATTATTACAGCTTTCAAGACATCCACTTACATCTTACCTGTCGTAGTCGTTGTCAACTATAGGTATAGACAATTGTTGAAATGGTCTATTAAAAAATACATTTATCTATCATATTGATTGGAATAATCTAAACGCACAACGACCATTACAAAAACATGTTACAAAATGTACAAATTTGATCAAGTATTATGACAACGAACTGTACATTAATGTGTATTAAAACATTTGTGAAAAACAGACTGAATGGATGACAATTCAAATGAAACATGGTTGATGTACTCGAAAGCTAAATTAGATAATAATTATATTGTGTGATAGTGCGCTTTGGTATTGTGTTGCTTAAAACACAAGTTGGATGTGCATACGCATTTGCAATATAAATAATAAGAAATGCTTAACAATGCTTAATGTTTTCTCGTTTGAATTGTTTTACATTTGTCATTTCGGGGCCTTTTATAGCTGACTATGCGGTATGGGCTTTGCTCATTGTTGAAGGCCGTACGGTGACCTATAGTTGTTAATTTCTGTGTCATTTGGTCTCTTGTGGAGAGTTGTCTCATTGGCAATCATACCACATCTTTTTTTTTATATTAAGGGGGCTCGGGTGTCTTCCTCCATCTTGGATTTTGAAGTAGCAGATAACGTTGGTCTAGATCTTTGATGAAATGTGCAAATTTTTAGAGTAGTATGTAATTTATGTAAAAGACTTTTGATGTAAATATAGAAAATTGTAAGTTTTATCATAATTACGGCTGTAATATATCAAAAACACCTTATTTGTGTTTGATTATTTTTTTTTAACTTTGCCAAATAAGGGGATATAACTCTGATAAAGTAATTTTTATAAAAGAAAGTGTTGTGAATTTACCTATTTTGATATGTAGCAAGAAAACAAGTTCGGTGACCCCATTTTTTCTTTTTCTTATCTGAAAGCATGTTATAAGAGCTATCTTCTCACATTTTATCTCTAAGTTCTATCAAGTAGTTTTCTTTTTATCACACAAAATTTGAAATCTGACTATTTTGCACAAACTGAAGCGTGAAAAAAAGTCCGGTGACCCATACTTTTTATTATATTTTTGAAAAAAGCATGATAAAAACCTCATTTTGACAAATTATCAAAAAATTCTATCAATTTTAATTAAGACGCCCCAGCCACCTTAACAAGAATTTCGTCAACTTTAGGTTTTTAAACATTATAAAGTTTTACATTTTTATATTTTCATCAATCAGTGGTTCTTAATGATTGAATGATCGGGTTAGCCATTATGAAATACTAGAAGTGTTACGAAAAGGTATAAACTCGATGCTGAAGTTGACAAATTAGACTTTAAATGAAGGGACTGCGTCAAAACATTGATTATCGATTAAAACCAGTAAAATTCAATTTGCGTGATGTTAACCAGATATCCTACACACGTGGTGGTTCATTTAAAATTATTTTGATTTAGAAGAATCATGTTCTGATATCATTGCTTGTGATGACGGGAAAGGTGTACGTGTGTGCGAGGGGAGGGGAGGGGTTGCTGGAAATTCAAGTATGCACATCTAGATTTGAAAGAAATCACATGATAAGCCAGTTTGGTTTGTTAATGGCCCCGCCGTAGGCGACGGGGGCAATAAGAGTTACCATTGACCTCCGTCCTTCCGTCCTTTTTTGTGTTTCCGTTTTTCCGTCTTTCCATCCATTCGTCCCATTTTCATTGCAAAGCTTGAGCGGGGGCATTCGTGTCCTCAGACGGACACATGTTTCTTTTATATTTATATTAATTATTGTTCTTTGAAAATATCAATCTGTCACTTCATTACTAAACTTCATCCTGAAGATGTATGAAATATATGTCACTAGACGAAAAACAAACAAAAATCAATCAATCTTTACTGAACCTACACAAAGCTCCACAGTGTGGTTGATTTTTTTTTTCGGAAGTCTCATTATAGGCTTCCACTGAATTTAAATATTTTATAAGCGTCTAAAAGCGTGTTCCACAAATACCAAACACCTGACTGATAATATCAAGTCCATTTTAACATTATATTCTTTTTGCTCTAGGTTTGCAGATAGCACGAGGTTTATGACGCCTAAATAGGGTAACGAAAGGGGAACGACATGCGATATATTCTATTACCTACAATGACATAATCGTGGGGGATCTCATTCCATACCTGGCCAATTGAAGGCATTAAATGAAACTGTTGAGCATCATCATGTTGTCCTAGGAAACTACTGCATGCGAATCTTAAGTGATTCCTATCGTCCACAAAAACCTGAGTTTGTATCGGTGCCGGTATCTGGAGTAAATTTTATCCCGAGGCTCCGTATGTGGTCTGTAAATGGCATGCAAATTGCTGTCAATTGCCGCTAACACTTTTGGCATTTGATGCCAACTGCCACTTATATTGTTGTCGCCAATTTTCTACGGTCGACTAAGAAGTATTTCGTGCATAGTTTGCACAAAGAATCGGTTTATTTGTGCACACGCAGCATGAACAGAAACCTCAAAGAAAAATATGCAGAAATATGTATCAAGGATGTCAAACCGGCGAAAAACGAGTCATATTTTGCATAGAACCGTTACAACGGAAATTTCAATTTTAGTTTAAACTTGTTTTTCAATTTTTGCTTTTACTAAGTAGGTATAACCAGAGTATAGATAAAATAATTCCCTAAGGTCTAATAAGGGCTAGCGAGGTCATAGAGGTGTCATGTTGGTCATTTCTATAATTGTCAAAAATTCACGAAGTTTCAATCTCCGAAAAAAAAAACGGCAAACTATATCCAAAGTAAATGCATAAAAGGAGTTGCACATTTTCTATGTATTAACATACATTGTGCAAATTTGAAAAGCTCCTAGGTTAGGAAAAAAGTTCTGACCTCTAGTAAACACCCTGTTATGTTCAATGGTCCGTCGCTATTGATTTCGAAAAAGCAAAAATGTATTTATACATATTGCTTTAATGTATAAGAGTTGTTGGAAATTGGTCTTTCTCTCATCCAGTACTCCTTTTTCTCGCTTTCCCTTTTCTCTCTCCTTCTAGATTTTATATTCTTTCTGCAATACCCTTGGCTCCTGTTAGTATTTCAAAAGGAAAAACAAATATTTTTGGATTTATATTTGTTATTACTAACGGAATAACTGTTATGCTATGCAATATTTGCCCCATAAGGAATAGTTATAATGAAATTGTCTTTGTTTAATAAATTATCAAAAGAACGTCTGTTATACGGAAAAAATATACGTGGACATCAGTACTATGAAGTTTAAACATACATAGGTAATTTAATCTTAAAAGCACTTTTGTGTTTTGATACGATACCCGAATCTAAAGTCTAATGTCTCAACCTCACCATTGAGTATATGCCATTTTGTAACACGTCTGCAATGTATGTGTGCACAGAAAACCATTCATTTTTTTTTTATATTATTGGAAGTTGCAAACCCGCGCACTATACTGGTTTGTCGAATGGGCTTGATTACTGGCTTGTAAATTATTGAAGGTACTATAGGATACACAATGAATTTCATTATTTTTACCGTATTTGCCTACCCTTCTGAAACATCATGTGTATACCTTGTTTTTGTCTTGATTCTTGTTTTGTAAGGTTTTTTTTTATTTTACTTCTTTCTATGAGTGACTGAAATTGTTTATCATTTTACAGCAAAAACGATGGCCACTGTTCCTGTTTTACCTTCGTTCGAAGAACAAGAAAGACACGCGTCCGCCTTAATGATTGCAATAGATATATATCCCAAAATGATGAAAGAAATGCTCTATAATAAATACAAATCTCCGTCTTCAGTAATTGTAGTCTACCAACTGATACAAAATGTAATAGATGATGAAAATGACCCGTTAGTGAAACAGCTCACTGCACTTGAAAAAAGTATAGTAAAGTCAATCAACATGGATGGCTTTGCAAAATGTGACATTTCTTTATTGTACAGATTAATCAGGTATTTTAAACTTTTACCAGCGCCTTCTAGAGGATGGGGCGCTAAACCATCTATAAAGGAAATCAGAGAGGGAGATGACGTCGAAAGAATGAAACGGTATCGCAACGATCTCGTACATCGACCAAAAGGTGGTTTATCTGAAAGCGAAAAGACAGATATTTTTACAGAGAGTATTAATATTGCAAAGCGTCTTGACAGTAGGTCGCCCACTCATGATTTTGAAAGCAAAGTAAGAGCAACCAAGTATGTAACTCAAGAAAAATATGTAACAGCATTAGAGCAATGTGCCGAAAACAGGGGTGAGTTCTTCTTTTTTTTTTATTTATGTCTATCTCAGTCTAAAATGTGAAGAGAAAATTCAACATTATAGATTTGTTTATTCATTAGACGAAAGATGTTATATTCGGATCTCCTTGATTAGACTAACACGCGATACCGATAATTCTGACAAAAAACAGGTCTGTATTGAGACAGTAACCTGTCACAGTCACGTCGACTGTGCTACGAAATTTACCAGACACATCTATTATTAATATCAGAGTAAATTATTTCTACTGGAGAGGAGGTGTCGAGGGATAAACTAGATTTAACAATAGTACACCAATTTTGAACTTGAAACAATTATTTTGATCTAAACACCCCTTAAATTGACCAAATATTTTCAGAAATATCCACTGTGGTAAATTCAGTATTATTCAGACATCATTGCTGTTCAGTTAAAGATGAGACTTTTCAGTAGCTACTATTTACCTGTACGTACACAAAAACATACCGAAGTGTCTGCAAATTTATCGAACAGTACTAGATTGACTGCAAGCAAAATATCTGAACTTAATTTAAATTACATTAAGAAAATATCTCCAAAAAACTTTAAGTCTAAACCAAACTTATTGTTTTAAGATCTAGTTGTTTCAGATGATGTAAAGATCAACATAACCGTTAAGGACTAAAATTACTAAAATTTATTTACTCGTGTTAAGGTTTGTGATTTATACGTTATTTACATGAATCCATCAAATTCACTGTGAATATTGAACTGAGCAACTTACTATCTTAGATATCCTCATAATTAAGGAAAATACAAACCTAGCTACAGATACACATCAATACCTTAAATGGCATACGATACAGTTACAGGGGAGGTAATGACGTCGCTAACGTAAAATGTTATTTTTCTCGACGTCAAACTGTGACGTATCGGGAAAAGATCCATTTTTCGACTGATTTTTATCATTCAGACTGAATTAACTTGAAAACGAGTTCATGGACCCCGCTTTTTAAAATGACATTTGGCTTGATTATGTATAAAGATTATTTGTGCCATTTTTTATATACAAATCACCGATGAAATTTTTTTAAATTAGATAAATATACAGCAAGAAATTTCGTTTTTTGACTAAAACCAGGAAAATGTGAAAAAAATGAATTATTTCCAAAGAATTATTACACAAATTCAAAGCAAACTTATGTAGAGAAGATATTTCAAATGTTTTTACAAAAATCCGATAGCGTTTTTCTTTTAAAACAAAAAAGTTAGGTGTGTGTTTCCAAAGGATAAAAATGTCCAAGAAACCAAAATTTCTAGTAAATGTCCAAAATTTCGACCCCATTTATCTCTAAAAGTAGCACATGAAGGTATATTTTTTATTACATGTTTGAATTGACTAGGTGAAAAATAGCTTGCAAACTTTCGTCAAAAATTCACCGTGGGATCAAAACTGTATCGTATGCCCTTAATGCAGTCTCCAGAAGAGAGGTGAAAGATACCAAAGGGACAATCAAACTCATAATTCCAATATAAACTGACAAAAAAAACGCTATGGCTAAAAAAAAGACAAACAGACAAATAACAGAGCACAAAACACAACATAGAAACTAAAGACTATGAACACGAACCCCACCAAAAATTCGTGGTGGCATCCGTACAATATTCGAAGGAAGTATTTCAACTTTACCTCTTGGAACTCTTGATTGTATAGCTTCCTTGTGAAATCATGGTAGGAAAAACAAGCCTTTGCATATCGTATAAAAAGGAGATATTTACTCCGTATGCAGGCGCTGCTGGAATGTTGCTACATAGAAATGAAAAGATCACAATTGGGAAGCTACAATTATCTCTTTTGACTTAAAGTTTTGTAACCGACCCTCGTTTTCAATTTCTAGATGTAAGTCGAGATATGAGGCAGACTTAACTGTATATAGATCTGTTGTATCTTTTATCCCAAGTTCGATGGAATAGATGCGTTCAATATTGTCTCCAAATTGCGAATTATTTAGTGAGAGAACATCATCTATATAGCGGAAAGTGAAGTTAAAGGATACTGCTAACTTCTTTCTTTTTCTTCCCAAGAAGTTCCTGTATGAAGTCAACCTCATATGAATGAAGGAACAAGTCGCTAAGAAAAGGAGCACAGTTTGTTTTCATGGAAATGCCGATTGTTTTTAATAGCGGTCATCCGGGAAGCATGTCGGCGACATTTTGACTGCCATTGACAAATTATGGTATTTTTATAGGGTCAGAACATTTGACTTGCAACACGCCACCTACAGACCCCTCAAAGAGTATTTGCATGGAATCTTAACGCGCGGAGACCTTGGAATTCGCCTTTCATGAGGCATTGAATTTCACGTCCTAATTCTGACATGACGTGGCTGCGTACTTGTACACCATGCACAGCAAAACGGACTCCCCACTTTCGCAAGGGTTTAACTGTCGATTAGAATAAGACAAAATGACCATAATAATATTTTCTCCAGTCAAAATTTGGGGTTGATTAAAGCAACATCTTTAAGTGGCGTATAATGTTTTCGAAAATGCGAACGTAGCTATCCGAGTATTTGTTCCAGTTGATAATAAAAAAAAAAAAATTGTAGTGATGATTTTTCGAGAAATGGGAGTATTTCGCTACTATCTAACACGATCCATTCTGACTGACGTATCTCTCTAAAGGGGAGACAGCAGAGCCCTATACAACATGGTTTGTAAGCTCTTTGGGAGTTTGAGTCCCTTATATATTACATTGTACACACAATATATCGTATTGTGCGTACAATATAGGTTTAATCGATCGGACAATATATTTAAATTGAGCGCACAAATTAATGATTGAAATTAATGATTGAGCGCCAAAAAATAATATACTGTGAGCATATTTTTTCTGTATATATCCCAACAGGTCTTCGTAAGATATCAGTCAAGAATTTCCTAAAAAAATTCTATTTTGCTACAAGAATTATATTATTATAACTTAAACAAAGATTTTAATTTGCATAAAATTAAACGAAAAAAATTGGTAACGCCTTGAGTTTGATTTATTTTTTAATTAAAAATCTATGTTTAAAACTGTCATTTTAGGTCAAAAACATCAATTCAATTACGAAGATGGCAGCCTATAGACACCTAAACTAACCTTTCAGCCTATAATTGCTTATATCGCAGGAAATTTAAAAGGTGTTGTTTTCATTTATTATAAAATATGCCATTTAATTTAAGTGTTATTGTCAATGGAAAATAAAACATTGGCGGATTAAGTGTGTGTGTTTTGTTTTTGTTATTTTATCAATTATTTTGGAAAGGCCCCTTTTAGTAGAATATATGTGTTTATACTGATTTTTCGGATTTTTTGCTGCCATTCCTTCGTTTTCTTACCACTATTTTTAAAACTCAAGGATTCGCCACTATACTATAATATACTAATCGTAAAATATTATTGTATGTAAAACAAAGGTTGCATGAAATGAAATTGTAAAGATTATAAATCCCCTGTACTCCGTTCTAAATACCGTTGTAAAAATGACCCAATGATTTCTTATATATCGTAATACTGCAAGGTTACTATTGCAAAAGTTTTAATATAAAAAGGGTTTCAGTACAGAAAATTAACATTAACTCGAAAATGATCATAAACTTAATTAACATTGTAATATGCTTTTGTGACTTATTGGGGAAACATAATATTGTTTTTCACTAAATTACAGTTATTAACTGAAAAAAGTCAATTCTTTATGCAAAGAATGCTTTCTTTTTTATTCATTTTTTCTCAAGTTGAAAAACCCGGACCGTTTGTTAAAAATCTGGACGTTTTAAATATTGCTCTTGAAAAAAAACACAGACAATGTAAAAACGCTGAATTTAAAATAAAATTCAAGAAAATTGTGCGTAGTTTGTGCTCAAAATATATATAGTATTTAGAACAAGATAAGCAGTCATGGATCAAACTAGTATACTTTCGAAATTGCAGTTAATCGGTCTGATCGCATGTAATATCACTGATCGAAAAAGTGTACCGATTCACTCGAGAAAACAAGACCACAGCCGGACACCAACCTACCGTGAAGTAGTTAATTTCACAGACGTGTGGGCCAGGGACCCATCTTTTTATCTTTTTTATGCAATATTTTTTTATATTTAACTGTTTTCAAAAATTTAATGTGTTCTTACTCTTATTCAAACGATACATTACAATAACAGCCCCTCTATCTTTATTCTTCATTAGGCAGTAACACTGTGCATCCCGGTACACTGGATAATGCCGGCTGTGTATCGTAGATTTTCACGACAATTTGGATAGCTGACACAAGTGGCAATAAAATATCTGTCTTTCTCTATATGAAGTAAAATTTTAAAAAGTAGATCTAAAATTTTCATCCCAAATGTGCATATTTCTTTTTACACCTGTAGGACTCATATCTGAATGAATATGCATTGAAAATCGTTCGTACATTGTATATATTGACAAGAGAAAATGACATTATACAAATCTCAAAGCAAACTTTATTACCTTGTAATAACTATTTTTTGAAAATATAAAACCTATCTCACGTGTGTTGTTGTCGGCCTCGGCGATCCCAGTTTCCGTTCTACGGAACACTACAGGACATCTTTAATACACCTTTTCAAACCTTTTGATATCTTGCGGACAAAAAGATTTATTTCAACTTCTGCCATCACTATGAAATGATGTAACCTTTTAAATAAGCTGATATCATTTTCTTATTGATAAAATTAAATAAAGATACTATTATCATATATGTAGCATGAATTAGTTGTTTATATTTTCAATAGGTCTACTGAAACAAGCGCAGGTGAATCTTTTGTACGGACAAGACATCGTTATTAAACTGGGACACCAAGAAGAAAATAACAGCAGCGGTAAATAATTGTTATGTTATTAATAAAAGTGTGCTTACAATTAAAGAACATTTAGAAGCAATCTCTCATTCCAACGACCCAATATAAAGTTGAAGAATGACCCTCTGGCATAGTTTTCTCTGTTAAAGTTTTAGTCATAATTTTAACCTTGTCTGTTATGATTCATAACAGTAATATAATCTTACAGGATTTATTTTATAACCAGTTGATATAACCTTGGACCATTTGACTTCACAATCGATAGGCATCGTCCCCTTATTATGTGTAACCAATTACCTTAAGTAAATTTAAAATCCACATTGAAGTATTTATCTATTATACTGAATCCTCTTATCTGCCAAATTGCGTTCTATTTCAGCAACTATGCCAACGATCTCTGAATTAGTTACATCACAATCACAAAGGTCCTTCCTCTCAATATACTAGTATACGAACCTCTTGTATAAGGTAAATGGTTTTGGTAATTTCATGTTAGGCTGTAAAAACTAAGTAAATTTGATCTGCTGAGTTCATTTTTAATTTGAGTTTTGATTTTGAATTTTATTAAATTTTGAAAATGTATGTCATGTTTTGTCCTGATGCAATTACAGACAGTGGATAATGCAATTTCCCATAGGAACTCCTTTTACGGCTAAAACTGTACAACTTTTACTATGAAGTTTCGAAAAAAATTAATCCTAAAACGGAAAGCTCAGATCATATGCACTACTATTTTTTTCAAAGTTCAAAATATAGGGCTGTGCGGCACATTTTCAACATTTATATGCCACGAACTTCTAAGAGCTTAAACTTGTACTTAAATTCTGAACTACCCCTGATTTGTGTCTCCCTCAGAATTCAAGGCTGCCGCTATATTTTTTATTTATACTGGTAACAGTCCCAAGTTACGTCTCTACGGGATGAAACAGAGAGATCCTATCTGGGAACCAGTACGTTAACAACAAAAAATAAAATTATATATCTCCCCAAAAGAGGCGTGGTTTGTGAAACAGCTATATTTACAAAGTGCAACCTACATTGGTTGTCTGCAAAGATACGCTAACTTCACTCTATAATTTTTAGGATTGTTGACAATCTACGATATCTAACATTAATAATGAATACAAAACAGAGGAACAGAGGGCAAAACCTGTGAATGTAACACTGTTGAAAGTAGGTTATTGCCTTAAAGGCACACAAAACATGTGTATTGCCAGGAATATCAATCAGTATTATGCATTGTATATTAACTGGATGTTGTTTCAGTAAAAAATCGATGATTTACTGTTCTGGCCAAAGAATAACAAAGATGATAGCAGAAAAGCTTCAACAATATTCATTTTGATCTTGACGTTTTAGATAATATGTAACAATATGAAAGTTTCAACCAAGAACTTTTTATGAATATCTTAGAGAAATAAAAGCTTGAAAGCAAATTCAATGCAATTTCCTATATAGTTAATATTTACAAGGGGCATAACTGTTTTCAAAATATTTGATCAGCAATGATTTTTTAAATTTCCCAAATATTGCTGATACCAGCCCTTGATATAAATTTCCCAAAAATCTGGCAAAAATTGTACACATGATAACGCTAACAATGCAATTTTCTATATAATTGATATTTCCAATGGGCATAACTTAAAAAAAAATAGTTGATTGGCACTGGTTTTCGACCGGATATTGCTAATACAAACCTTTGATATAAGTTTTATAAAAATCTGAAAAGAATTGTACGCATGGCAGCGCGAAATTTCCTTCCAACGGGTATAACTCTTTCAAAAATATTTGATCGGCACTGATTTTCGGCAAAAATTATTCATGTCAGAGCGCTTACAATACAATACAATTTTCCATAAAATTAATATTTGCAAGGAACATAACCCTTCTAAAAATAATGAATCGGCACTGACGTTCAAACTTGTCCGAGACGTAAGTTTCAAAAATTCAGACAATAATTGTTCACATGATAGTGTAACATGGTGTAACAGCACAACATGTGAACAAACTATAAAAATGAATTGAAAGGGGCTTATTTCATCCGATCGATACTAAGCACAAAAGTATCTAGCAAATACAAAAATTCCACAAAGTAAAGATCTGAGAGTACTCGCAGTTATTGAAAGCTAGTTAAAGCAATAGCAATTAACTAATAAAAAATCATTTTCTAGTATCTCAGACTAAAATATCAATCAGTACACACCCAACGTCAAACGGATTTAATGATGGCCATCAACTGTAAGAGAACACATTACTTTGTGCAATGCCGAAATACAAGTATCAACTGTTACAGATTGTAGACCATTAACGTTCATGTGCGTATAACAATTATATTTGTAAATTTCACACATTTTCATTTGTGGATTCAAATTATCTTGATAAGCATAAAATGTTCCCGCCAATATAGTTGTTTGTTTAATTGATGCAACATAATATTCGCCTAAGCTCTAATTTGACCAATCCAACTAATTATTGCGAATGCATGATGGGTTACTACGTCACGTGGTTTTAATGACCTACAACACATGTTTTTACAGATTGCCTGTCAAAGAAAAACTGTATAATTCATTGATCTTATCATTCCTTTATTTTTAGCTCACCTGGCCAGAAAGGGCCAAGTGAACTTTTCTCATCATTTGGCGCCCGTCATCGTCCGTCGTCCGTCGTCGTCGTCCGTTAACTTTTACAAAAATCTACTCCTCTGAAACTACTTAGCCAAATAAAACCAAACATGACCTAAATCATCCTTGAGATATCTAGTTTGAAAAATATATCCGATGATACCGCCCATCAACCAAGATGGCAACCATGGCTAAATATAGAACATGGGGGCAAAATGCAGTTCTTGCTTTATATCTCTGAAACTAAAGCAATTAGAGCAAATCTGACAAAGAGTTAAAATGTTCATCAGGTCAATATCTATCTGCTCTAAAATTTTAAGAAGCATCAGACAACCCATTGTTGGGTTGCTGTCCCTGAATTGGAAATTTTAAGGAACTTTTGCAGTTTTTGACCTAACTGGTCAATTGAACATTTAAGGAGTTATTGCCCTTTAAAGTCAATTTTTTACATTTTTTTGTAAATTTAAGATTACAAAAATCTTCTCCTCTGAAACTACAGAGACAAATTTAACCAAACTTGACAATAATCACCATAAGGGTATCTAGTTTTAAAAATATGTCTACCAACCAACATGGCTAACATGGCTAAAAATAGAACATATATAGGGGTAAAATGCAAGTTTTGTCTATTATTTTTTGAATAAATAGAGAAAAAATGGAGCAAAAGTGTTCAGAATAATGAGCTCTACCAATTGTCCATATACGTCAAAACTGTTAGACAAAATCGTATAGGTGTTATAGCCAATAAATGACAAATTTTACCATTTTGTATCATGTTTGCCTATTATCATGAAAACTATGATATTTAGAGAGAAACGTTTTTTCGTGTTATGCCTTATAAATATGATTAAAATTACAATAGATTAATAAACACTTTAAATCATAAAATTGATCAGCAAGGCAAGATCTATTAAAAAGTCAAATTTTGCTGATGTAGTTAGTAGACTGTCACTCTTCATATGAGTGATTGCCCTTAAATGAGGATTTTTTTGTTACCCTTTTTTGTGTTTTGAGCAAAAACTAAAGAAGATAAAGAGAAGCTAAACCGACTTTAAGATCAGTAATACAAGATCAACAAAATAGAGTTTTATGTCATGATGTCTATTCTTGTTGGAGAGTGTCCTTTGTTTAAAGTGCACATAGACCAAGGTGAGCGACACAGGCTCTTTAGAGCCTCTAGTTAATGAAGATATTATAAAGCAAGATTATGATGCAAAGATTTAGAACTAATTTGTTTCTGTCCTATTAGGTGTAATACCACCATTGATTTCCCCCTATCAATTTTTGTTAAATTTGCACTTTTCAAAAAATTGTGAAGAATTTATATTTGTTTCAATAAAGAAATACTTGGCATGAGTAAAATGTTATCCTGTCAAGTACTATAGAAAAAAATTCACATAATGTTTCATTGCATATAAGAAAATAACAATCACTGGAAGTTTACAAATCATATGTTCATCCTTATCTTTCCTGTGTACAAGCTTTATAGTAACCATGTAACCTCAAGTTTCTAATCTAAATAATGGTGCTTTGTAACACCCGCGATATATGTGTATGTCCCTGGAATTTTGTACTGCAATGAAAAGTAGGATTACTTTCTTACAACTGTCAAATTCAAGGGATAATTTTTTTTAGACCCTTATTCGTATGCAACCGCATGTGACGTACTATGATTTGATGGTATTACACCTTAAACTAAGAAAAAAATGTTCGAAATTCCCTTACTGCTTTAACCAATAATATTAAGAATTAATAAACGGAGATAATAAATATTCGCTTACGAGGCAGCAACCTAACAACACAACATCTCAAAAAGATATACATGTACTTGCATTCAGATTTTCGCAAACTGGAGAGGTCCAAACTTGTCAGTTATGTCTTATGATAAATGTTTTCTGTCATAAAAATGTGAATTTGTTTATACTGAATAATGTCCTTATAAAAAAATGTACATGTACATTACTTTTCTTCATAAATGTTTTTGATAATTTTATTTCTTTATCCTTCCCAACCACCAACAAAAAAAACAAAAAAAAACATGATCTGTATAGCAACATACAGGCTATAGCTATAAAAAGGTGCCTACAAAATATAACTGGCTTTTAAACTAAATCGTCTATTAACTATATGTTTATATGTTAAATTCATATTCAGAATATTGATTAAAATTAATATCATAGCAAGTCCAGCCAAAAAGTTCATGCAAACAGTGCAGATATTTCTGCGTTTATCATAAAACCAATGTTGCTTTGCAGTCTTATTAACGCGGCCGTCAAAATATGATTCATATTCGGCAGGATTTACGTGCTGTGTTCTGAGTGTATTATGAAAGAGTATAGAATTTGGAAACTTTAAGGAGCATGAATGTTTGATATAAAAATGCATATAAATGCATTTAACCCATTTTTCTTAAACGATTTGAAGTTTTGAAAGAGCCTTTAAACTGGACAGCGTAAACAACCCTTGAAAAATTGCGCAGCCACTGAACACAAAAGTAGCACGGTTCTAATTCGGTGTACTGAAGAAAATGATCGTAAAAGAATACGTAATGGTGGTCAAGCATAGCGATCGGATCGTGAAAGATATGGCATCGGATCGTGAATATAAGTCTACTTCAAAATCTGTGAAAAAAATCCTATGTATTTTGAAAAGGCGGAACAAATTAGAAAAAAAGGAAAATGTCTTTCAAATTCATTCAACATCCTCAATTATAATGTGCACTAAAATTAAAGAAAAATGCATTACTTTTTAACATAAAAGGCGACACACAATCCTATACGAATCATTAAAGAAAACATGAGCTGTGTATCTATAATATCATAATATATTATACAACAAATCTTAAGTGTGTCAGATAGTGCAGTAAACTATAAGCATTTTTGTGCTGATTTTTTATCAACGAATTATTCTGATCGTGAAAGACTTATTCATCAGAAAACATTTCTGTTACCTGTTTTTACTTAAAAGTGGCATTTCTAACTAGACATCCAAGATAATAGGCCCCCCAGGAGCATGAATTGTCGGAAAGTGAATCCTTTTGGTTCCTATACTGCTCAATTTTTCCAGGAATGTGCGAAGTGATAGAGTTTTTTTGGGTCTTCCCATGGAAATATCCGAATGTGAACGCAATTTCGTCATTTTCTTATTAATGGATTTTACTTTCAGTTATAGAAAATGTCGTGTCCTGCGTATATTACAATACGCCATTGTACCCAACTTCGAGGTAAAATTACCAGCGTTCGTACCTCGATTTGTGATGCCTAACTTTAATTGTAAATTTACTGATTATGTTCTATTCCCAATCGGTGCATTCCGACTGAGCCTGGATTCGAACACCTAGTTATGCATACATAGCAGAATACGCTTATTTTGTCAAAAAGTCGGCCTCGCTCCGTTTGGAGATAAGTAGTTTCTATTGGGTTTTTTTTCTTGGTTTGTATATATTCAACAGGATTTTTAACTAAAGGATAGTCAATTCCTTAACGCTATAAGCACAAAACACTAAATATAACTGCAAACACTGTCGTACTCTAAGTCAAATTCATACGGGTACAGTTAGATGTCTCCTGCGAACTTTTGATACCTTTCTCGAATCGAATGCGAAAATTTCAGCTAGGCGAATCGGTCTTGTACAATTCAGGCGAGTCTCTCCTCATATGGTATCATTCAATGTTTTCCCGGCAATATGTAGCAGTGAAACATTTAAAATACACATGAATGTACCTTATATGATAGCAATATCTATCATTACCGTCTCTCCAGAGACGGTATTAAGAGTTTAGCAATCAACAGTCTTCGAAGTGAATGCTATCTTTTGACTGGTTGGAAGATATTACTGACTCAAATCGTTAAGACAATTGAAACCTAGTTATTGACTTCCAATCCCACAAGATATCGGGTTTGAACTCCTGATTTTAGTATTTTCTATATTTCACTAAAACTTGACTCAATTAACGCGATTTCGTTATTCGTAATTTAATGAAATAAAGTTTTAGAATATATTGGAATTCAAAATCTGCGCTTAGAAGCTGCACCATTTACAACATTCTTGTCCAATATATCTAATCTACAAATTTTCTACCAAGAACTCCATATTTTTCAAAATAGAAGTCCAGTTAATTATTAAGTCATTCAATACTACCTCGTGCATTACAAGATTGTTTTGTATTATATAGTTTGAGTTCAAATATATTAACATTGATATGTATTTATTGAAAACTTGTTTTGTAACATTTAAATACAATCAATGACTTCCTTTATTTTTCATTAGTTTTATTAAACAAATTGCAATATAACCATTACAGTACAAAAAAGGTTGGTTTTGGCATCATCTGTTATACATACATATGTTAAAGAGTAATGCGTGGTTATATATGATTTTTTATTTGGACAGCAAACTGTTCTGCGTTCAAGAATTTCTCCTGTTCGAGTACAAATTTTGTGATAATCTCAAAAATCATTTACGATAATGACAAAGAAATGACAACTTCCATTTACGAGAATCAAAGTGTAAACGGAAATTGAGAGAAAAGGCTTTAAAATTATAAACAGAATTGTTCGCTATGTAAAACATCTTTCTAGTAAAATTGAAGTCATGATTCATGAACAAACAATGAACATATCTGGAACTAAAAGGCGACGTGTGTGTAAGTTTCCGCTTGTTCAATCTTTACCCAAAGGTTCAATTTGGAATGGAAATATTGGCATCCCATGACTTTCCTATGTATAAAATACTTGCAATTGGAGTTTAGGAAACAATAACAATCAATCTATCCTAAGATATATATACTCGCGTTATAGTGCATTAGGTAAAGAGGCAGCATTTAGTTTTTCATTAAGGGTCAAGTTTTATTTAATCAATAAGGAAATATAAATGTAAAAAGGAAATTTCAAAACGGAAAGTCCCTTATCAAATTGCAAAATCAAAAGCTCATACACATCAAAAGAATGTATTAAATTCTTGTTGTTTGTTTTTAAAGAATCGATTACTAGAATGTCAGGAAGGTGACAATTTTATATAAATGTTAAATGTACTTGTAATAAACGTACAGAATTTATGATATTTCCATATCGTTTAAAAAGTATCTATTGTTTGTTAAACATAAAAAACATTGTTATTTAAACCTTAATCCTTATTTCTATTTTGTGTAGGTACCAACAGTACAAGATATTCTATTTATACTAGGGATGCAAATATGGATGTACCTGCGGTAATTAAAAGGTTGGACGAAATAAAGCAAAAACTAAATGACGGATCAAGCGAAGTGAAATTATTAGGCGGTGAGATTGGAAGTCTCATTCTAGATATCACAATATCCAACGCCAGCTTTAGTACCAAGAAAATACTGCATGACGTTTTGGATCTTTTTTTACAACAGCTTTTCTTACATGCTGATATACACCAAACACCAGGAAAAGTTTTGGATGCAGTATTGACAGAAAATGATAATGATGCTTTTTCTAGCGGTATGATTTAGTCGGGATTTTGTTATATAAAACAAAAGATAACAGTTGCAATAAGTAAATAATGTTTACATATTTCTGTTCACAAAAGTTATAATTTTTGTTTTTCATATTAGACAACTTTAGAGTTAATTGAATTTCCGTCAAAACCTTTGGTTTTAGTGAACATCGTTCGTGCGTTTAGATGCATCGTCACTTCCTTTCAATGTTAACCGAGTGGTTTAAAAAAATATGATGCTATATTGCACGAATTAATTCGTCAAATTAAATTCTTATAATTGCTCATCAACACTGCTGTCATTGAGAAATTGTGATTAAGTTAATACGGAGCAGACATTATTTCTAGTATATTATGCATAATGACGATCACAAAGACGCTTGATGAACCTAAATGGTGCATGGATACAGGCAAACTCCTATATAAGAGAGGTACGAAAGATACCAGAGGGACAGTCAAACTCATAGATCGAAAACAAACTGACAACGCCATGGCCAAAAATAAAAAGACAAACAAACAAATAATAGTACAGATGACACAACATAGAAAACTAAAGACTAAGCAACACGAACCCCACCAAAAACTGGGGGTGATCTCAGGTGTTCCGGAAGGGTAAGCAGATCCTGCTCCACATGTGGCACCCGTCGTGTTGTTTGTGTTATTAAAAATCCGGTAAATAGTCTAATTCGGTAGGTCACATTCTTGAAAAGTGAAAGGTATTGTAGTTACGACATAAGGAACATATCCGATATCATCTGTGAAACGGTTATTCAATAACGGTCAACCAACTCCTGATGGCGTCCGAAAAATTTATGAAAGGATGATTTAAACTTCACCATTTGGAACCCTTGGTTTAATAGCTTCCTTGTGAGCAGCAATCCTCTATCAAGGAAATCATGATAGGAAATACAAGCCCGGGAATATCGTATCAATTGGGAGATATATACTCCGTATGCAGGCGCTGCTGGAATGTTGCTACATAGAAATGTAAAGTTCACAATTGGGAAGCTGAAATCATCTCTTTTGTCGTAAAGTTTTGTTTTCAACCGACCCTCATTGTCAACTTCTAGATGTAAGTCAAGATATGAGGCAAACTTAACTGTATCTGTAGTATCCTTTATCTCTAGTTCGATGGGATAGATTCGTTCAACACAGTCACCAAATTTTGTATTATTTAGTGAGAGAACATCATCTATATAGCGGAACGTGAAGTTAAAGGATATTGCTAACTTTTTATCTTTCTTCCTAAGAAGTTCCTGTATGAAATCAGCCTCATAATAATAAAGAAACACAGTCGGCAAGAAGAGGGGCACAATTGGTTCCCATTGGAATTCCGACAGTCTGTTGAAAAACGCTTCCTCCAAACGTAACAAATATGTTGTCAATCAAAAAATCAAGCATCTTGATAATGTCAGTTTCAGATAATTTTTTGTTTGAATCAGAGTGATTCTTTACAAAGTATATCTGGTAAACGACTTCTTAAATGCGCGAATAATTGACGAACTTGACATAATCAAAAGTGGTCTAATAGGGTATGTTATTTGCTTTCAGGGTCTGATCAAGGAGAATATGACTTCTTATGCGAAAAGCGATCATCGGTTTTAAAATTAGATGTTGACATACATAACTGCGCTTTCCGTGATAAAAATGTGCTGCATGAAGAAATAAGCAGATTTATAGATGATGTTACTGGTGCAAGAGATGATGATGATGCCACGATGCAAAATGGATCCCCGAGAGATGTAATGATAGTATCAACTCAAGAAAAACAAGTTGCTACTATTGATTGCAAAATAGGTATTATTTAATGACTGCATGACCAAAATACTCACATCACTTACAGAAAACCAAACTTTGTAAAGCATGGAGGTGATAAACAAGTACAAAAAAACCAAATTAGATCGAAAAAAGGATCCATACGATATTTTCATTACTTCTGTTATACAGAGTTATTTAATTTTAATATTTTTATATCATTTTATTTTCTATTAACAAGGGAACAAAATAGATTTGGGCAGTTTGTAAATGTATTGCACAACCTTTATGATACGAAAGTGTATAAATATGCAAAATTTGATTTTGTTCAGTGAATCATGAAAACAAGAATAAAACAATTCGCTCTTTCTGAACATTTTGAAGTCACTAAAATATTCAATACTGTACTTGAAAAAATATTACTTTATTTTTTTTAGTTTTTTTTTTTTTTTTGCCAAGATGTGCAGACATAGGCAAAAGTGAGTTCCCACTCAAAATTTGTCCTATCATTTCAACTAAAGTCGATATTTTTAAAAAATATATAACCAAGTAACTTTATGAGCGATTTTTATAAAACAGATACTGTAAGATGGAGAAATGTGTGAAGTTTTATTGTTTATTTGGCCATAATTTTTGTTAGGTTTGTTTTCATTATTTGATGGGTTAAACACAAATGCATATTTTTACGATTTTAATTTGGTTAGAATACATAGTAAAATATTTTTCTTCGTGCTCAACTCGTCAAAAAATAAAAATGAGCATGAATTATATGATGGCCAAATAAACAATAAACCTTTAAACATTTCTACATCTAATGGTATTTATTTGATATAAATCAGTCATGTAGTTATTTGGTAATATGTTTTTGAAAAATATTGATTTTAGTTGAAATCATAGGACATTTTTGACCAGTTTACCATAATTTTTCAATGGCAGAAGTCTGAGAGATAACTCATTAACAATTTTTTTCTACAAACACATATGTGTTTTTATACAATTGCAGATTATAATTAACTGCTACTTTTTTTGTTATGTGTTATTTATCTTCATTTATAGTTGACTTGGGTCACAAACGAACATATAATACATGTCAGTTTTACATTCGCTCAATTACACGACACTGGAAATATTTGAAAGAAAATTTAGACGTTGTTTCTATAAGCAATGAGCTTAGCATGTCTAAGTTTATTAAATGCATTAACTTCGAGCATGTGTGCGAAAACCCACGAAGAGAGCAAGCAGAAAATATACTTGATAAGGTTATACGGACAATCCAACGTTCAGAAGATTTTCGAACGTTTTTGAGGATAGTGGAAAACCACCAGAAGGATGTAGCTGATAAAATCAGAGAACCATTTATATATACAGAAGAAGAAAACCCAACATCGTGTAAAGGTATTGTTTTATATATATGTGTACATATAAGAGTCTATAGAAAACCAATAGATTGATTGATTTCTTGATTACTGTTTGACGCCACTTTATGCACTTTTGTGCTCTATTGTGGCCCTTAGTTTTTATTAGTGGAGGAATACGGAGTGAACAACACACCTTTGGTATGAAAACTGACTATGTGGATGCTGTAGAATGTGTCTCCGTGCTAGTAGTATATGCCCATATATGACAGTTATGGGTTGTTTGTTTGTGAGAGAGCTGTCTACTGATAGTTTCTATGATTATATTTTGCTCTTTCTTTAATATTCAAATGTTTAGGTTATCTATTTGCCCCTTCTATGGTTTTACTAAGTATATTTGCTATTCTTGTCCTTTGTTTGTTATATGTTTGTTATGTTTAACCCATGTCGAGCAGTTAGGCCGAGGGCACAGTTATCGTCCTTTGATTTCACAAATATAGTGCCTGTTGTGGACAGTATATTTCTCGCTACATTTTGTTCATTTACTTCCAAGATTTATTCCAGTTTGTTCATATACTCTCTAAATTTATTTATTTATACTTTAAGCAGGAAATATAAAGTAGGCATATAACGTTTTATGTTTTTAAATAACTTCGGGTATTTTTAGATAAAGTTGTGATTTGGGTTCGTTTCAAAAAGTCATTTCTTTTTTTTAAACGAACACAAGATCATCTACATGTATACCGCTTCCGCAGACCTAAGAAATTCAGAAGTTTAATTTACCAACATTTTGAAAAACACAAACACATTATAAAATTCATCAAACTTCTATCACTCCAAACAGTTCATAAACAACCAGAACAGTTTGAAGATTCCCGAAAATTTGCGAACTTTCTTGGATTAAACGACTACAGACCGCGTATCCCCTATGTGTAAATGACAATATCATGGGCCAAAGGGACATATCTATAATATCCTATTGATATCATGACTACTGTTGATAAAAAATAACAACGCAATTATAGGTCTCATGGCAATCGCATTAACCACAATCAACAAAATACATATCGTTCTAATTTAACACTCGATAATCTTTTATCTATATTTTATTTTAATGGTAGACATTACTTATTATGCAAACTGGGTCAAATGCGAATAAGTAAATTACATTTATAACGAGTGTGATACGAAATCGTTTTTCAGTCTAAATTACGGATTATTACACCCTTTTTGTCATCGTAGACTGTTCACTTTAAATTGACAAACCTGAATTTCATAAAAAGATTTTTTTAAGAAAAAAATACATCAATAGAGGTATTGTTTTTATTAATTTGTCAAGTATTTTTCATAACACTATATATATAGCTACCTTTCAAGACTTTAAACCTCCATATTTTGATAGCATTGTGCCACGTTATAATATCTTGTTTGCATAAAAAAAACAATAGAAGTTTTATTTTTCAAATATAAATCAGTTACATCAGACGTCAGTATAGAAAATAAGGTTCCTACAACATAAGACTGTGAAACATCGAAGTTAAGATATGACCCCTTTGGCCATATAATTACAGAAGTTTATCAACTTTCTGAAAAGAAGGACCAAATTATCGTCCACCGTCAAAAATAAGTTGGAAGAGTGTCGTGAGGTTATTAAAAATGCTCTTTCATCCAATTGTTAAAAAAAAGTTTACACGGGAGAAATCTGACAAAAAGTCACATGATTCCTATTTAAATAAATGTATGAATATTGTCGATATTCGCATCTCACATTTCGAAAATAATTTAGAAATAAATAAAAGAGTAGGTAATGCTCCCATTTCTAGGATTAAAAAACAAAATTCAAGTAATCGCAAAGAGTATTGTGTTCGTATCGGCCGACACAGCCAACAATGTGGTGGTTTTATGACGAAAATACTACATGGAAGCCCTTTCTGAAAAGAATGAAATCATACATTTTACTGCATTCAAGGCTGTATGATCCACTGCGAATCATGACGTAAATATTCATGTCACTACAACAGCCCAGCTAAATGCCTCCTCGGAACATATGAAGGTCCCAACTATGTATTGTACCTAAACTACATAAATAACAAAACGTTAAACGTCGTTGCTAGATAGAGTTCTTATTTTAATCTTACGGTGCTTTTAACGAGTTCCTTAACTTCTATCAAAGAACTTATCGTTCATTTTTGCAATAAGACATATGAAAACAGTGGACTTGACCATTTTTGAAGTGTGAAAAATTCTTTGGATGTTTTAGATAAATTACGCGCTTATGGCGGACCTTTTCATTCGGTTATATATAAAAATTAAACTCACAAAAATACTAAACTCCGAGGAATATTCAAAACGGAAAGTCCCTTTAAATCAAATGGCAAAATCAGAAGCTCAAACACATCAAACAAATGGATAACAACTGTCATATTCCTGACTTGGTACAGGCATTTTCTCATGTAGAAAATGTAGAAAATGGTGGATTGAACCTGGTTTCATAGCTAGCTAAAACTCTCACTTGTATGACAGTCGCATTAAATTCCATTACATTGACAACGATACGTGAACAAAACAAACAGACATAATAGGCAAAAATGTCAATAATACAGCAGTCAACATTGTGCTATAATCCTAATCACTAAAAAACACATACAAACATGTAACAAAGAAGCACAAAATGGCATACAGACCAAGCATATTAGTAAAGATTAAAGACAAGAATACACAAATTTACCATAGTACAATAACACAATGACGGCATGTATAAGTACAGAGCCACGTCATATATGTAACGAAGAAACATAAAACGGCATATAGACAAAGCACATAGCAAAAATGAAAGACGAGCAACAAACAAGTTTTCGAAGTAACACCAAAAGGCACAGAGACAAAGGTCTCTAGCAAATTGATAGTTTTCCTACACTACATTTCCACACAATCTTATCAAACAAATAGTTTCCTATCTAATCAAATGTCGTTTGATAAATCTGGTTGCAAATTCATTTGCTGCAACTCATATAAAGTTTTTTTTTCTCTAATGAGAAAGGTAAATATACTAGATAGATATACTAACTGGAGATGTGATGAGATGATTGAAACACATTGATGTACGTTTCGGCAATGAAGTTTTTCGACAAATTGGAGGTATTTCTATCGGCACCAATTGTGCCCCTGTATTAACAGACGTGTTCCGTTACTGAAATGAATCAAAGTTTTGGACGACCCCAGTAAAGAACCGTCTAAATTCCATTCAATTGTTAAATTCAACAATGCGTTCCGTTATCTTGATGATATTTTTTCGGTACATAATCAATATTTCTCTAACTATACTGCTGAAATTTACCTAAAACGAACTTACTATATAAACATCCCATGTCAACAGCAATAACTGTCCTAGATTATATTTTGTAAACTGTTATTTGTCTTTACTTTGTTTATTGTCAGTTTTGTTTCGCCTCATGCGTTATTATATCTCTTTGCTATATTTCGCCTCAATGTTATCGTATACTATTCTAAAAAGAAAATGACTTCAATGAAAATGTTCATATGTGTAGTATTTTATAATTGATTTGTTTTTAGAACTGTAAAGATGACTGTATCATTATTGTGTCGTGTATTTTTTAGGTTTATTGTTTTTATTAAATTTCTGCAAAATCTCATCTCTACACAAAGTTTACAGTAGTAACTCATTTTGTCGCCCGCGTAACGCGTTGCGGCGGACATGGAAATACCGGGCGTTCGTCTGTCCGACCGTGTATCCACCCATTCGCCCGTCCGTTTGGTCTTATTAGCGCTCTCACGGGTACAATTCTTGTCTGATTTTTATAAAACTTATACTATAGATTAATATCAACAATATCTCGGACAAGTTCTAAAATGGTGGACGATTAACTTTTTTTTAAATGAGTTATGCTCTTTAGTATATTAAATAAGTTCAACGCGGAGAACATTGGAACTTTGTTCTTTCACTTATTTAAATACAGATTGAATGTATCACATCTACGTCCGGCGTAATTTGATTTAAACCCGTTTTTGGTTGGTTTCAAAATTATCATACCTTAAGATTTCTGTTTAGAATTTAAAGAACTTTAAATTTTGGTTGCCTTAAGTTATTTCTCCAAGTTAATCTTTACTTTATAGCTTTTTCTTACTTGCCGGTACGTAAACAAAACCAAATATCTATGAATATTATATATCGCACATAAAAAGGCGAGGTTTTTGAATCAGCTATTTTTACAACGTGCAACCTATAATGGTCAATTGACCATATCATATATGTTACATGTAACTTATTTGTAAATATTATTGTTATCAAATAAGGTAGGGGATAATATTCCTTTGCAAAGAAGTTTTAGTATATTCTAAAATGATTATGTATTCGTTTTCCCTTCATACTGAGAAAATGTTTATGAATGTTTGCTTTTACGTTTAAGATGCAAAAAAAGATGAACAGAGAATATTATTAAACAAAGAAATGTTAGAAATGGAACTTACATCAACTGATGTAGATGAAATTCTTGACGATTTTATGGAAGCTGACGTATTTGACGTGCATGATTTGGATGATATTAAACGTCCAGGAAAGTCAAGCAAAACATCAGTTTTTATTGAAAGATTATTGCAAAAAATGCAAAAGAATGCTTATTTGCATTTGCAGAAAACGTTGGAGCGCATAAAAGATCCAAGTATTTGCAGACGTATTCTCGGTGATTTAGAAGCAACGCCGATTCTGCCACATGAAACAGAAGGTACATGTATATTTCACAATTATATGTTACGGAAACGTGCATTCACGTGAAATTAAGTATGTAAATACCGAATCACTAAAAATTTTATCACAGAGCATGTTATATCCGTTTATTTCTAATGTTTTATTGATTTTAATGAACTGTCAGGTTCAAGGTGTTAATTGTATTGTAAACTTTTGTTTTTAAGCATAATAAAACAATGGAGTAAAATAACTGTTCAGGGCGAAAATAAATATAAGGATGCTATCGAGAGAAAATTGCTTTTGATAGTTGTTTCAATTTAATTAGAAGTTATGAATTTTCGAATTTCTTTACATTACTTCCACAATTAATACAGACAAGAAATTAATAATCTAATTAAATCTAATTGCAAATGTTTATGCAACTCTTTTTGTAATTGCCCGCCATCTCTATCTACTTCCTTTCAACCTATATCATCAAGATAATGACTACCGTTATTAATTGTTTTATATAACGAAATATTTTTTTCATTACAGTTTCGGTAAGTTTATGCAGCACATTTACATATACAATTATAAAAAGGAGGCTTTATATGAGTCCCAACCAATGTCGGAGAAGGGTCAGTATATAGATCATGTTTCAAATGAAGCACCGATCGCTTTACTCGTATAGAATACTATATTGCAAGTGATTAAGCATCATGTTTTAAACGGTCAGCGACTAGATATTACAAACAAATATTCAGTCACAAACGTTATTTTTATTCATCAATGTAGATTTCTCAAGACAAAAACTTAATAAGTAATTGCATTTCATTTACACTTTTTTATAGATGGAAAGATAACAGATCTTAGAATACCTAACACTATGATTGTTCGGTCTCACCGATCATTTCTCATAGATGAAATTGACCCTCTGCTGATGATTGACGAATGCGTTCAAAAAAATATATATATTGATCAGGAAGGATTAGAAAGAATTACCGATAGAAAATCTCGAGCAAGAAAGTTTTTAGATGACTTACAAGAGCATGACAAGTGCACAAGTCTTGAGAAAGATCTGTTAAATGTTTTTGAGACAAAGGCAATGCATTGTTTATCCAAAAAACTTGCATTTTCACAGACATTGCTCAATTACAAAGGTATGCACATTAATTTGGCATTAATTTACTTATAATTTCTGTTAAAGGTGTAATAACCCAAAATCCTTGTACATCACATCCGGTTGCATACAAAAAAGGGTCGAAAATTATGTTCCCTTGAATTTGACAAGTGAATTAATTCTACATTTCACCGCAGTAAAAAAAATCTGGCTCATAAGCATATATCTTGGGTGCTTCAAAGCGCTATTATATTTTCATTTGGTGTTTCTTTAGAATATTTTGGAAACTTGAGGAAGCCTGTATGTTAAAAAAAAGTTTAAAAATTATTGAATAAGTTGAAAATTCTGTTCAGCTCAGATAATACATTTAATTTTCAGTCTTTATCAGAAAAATGTTTAATTTTAATTCCTGCAAAAAATCGCTAAAACAATTATTCTTTAGAAATCTTGAAAATCACAAACCTTTATTAAATTTGACTGTTTGCAATTTACAAAATTTTCAAACAATTAGGCTTACAGACGGAAGATAAAAGAAATGTTATGACAACATTCTTTTTTTTTTTGGCAAACCGTTCAACATCCTCTATTTTGCAGTATTTTTGAGTGTTTAAGTGGAAATTATATGGTCTAGTAGTATTATTAACTGTAAAACAGAAATATTCAGTAGAGGACAAATTAATATTATAATACGTAACGTTGGTTTCCCTCCAACAGACTACAAAATGCCCTATCATCTAATCAGCAGACAGTAATTTCAATGGTTTGGCAGTCAGTCACTATCTCAGTAGTTAAATAGTGTTAAATTAGCTTATCCTGTGGTGGATGGTCAAATCATATCTTCTAGACTATTGGTTGAATTTGTAAACCGAAGAAGTACAGATGGGTACACCTGACCAACCAATAGTCTATCAATAAAACCTCATAACTCGATTATTTAATCAGTTTATTTTCAGATTCAACTTTTTCCAAAACTTTCAAGATTGAAGACATGATCATTTAAAAAACTCTTTAGCACATCAACTTTTTTTAAGCATTCTATGTATGAATATAAAATTGTCTAGCTTTCAAGCTTTAGATTTTTTAATATGTCTTTTAAATGCAATTTTTATAGTTGATGAAATTAGACATGTCCAATTTTCTTATATGCCCCTGCATCATTGTCATCACCAAATGCAAACAACATAATTGTTGGATCACTGTTTCAATTACTGTTAGGTTAAAATGCAAAAACCCCTTCCAATATATTTGTAAGAGTTGTCTCCCATACCCCGGGTATATCCCCTTGAATAAAATTCACTTAGACGTAAAACATATATGGTGAACGTAAACCAAAAACAATTTATGTACTTAATGCACATTGAGTGTGCCAGTCACCAATATGAACAAAATATTCGAAAATTAATGTCTCTTTTTGTCTAAAAAAGATTCTGTTTTAGTCTTGATTAAATGTTTGTTACATACAACATGAATTTGGTTAAATAAGTTGTAATAAAATAAAGATTATTGAACTCATTTAATAATGATTCTATTTCTATCCTATTTTAAGATACTGAAGCCCTAAGGCAGAATATAGTCAGATACAGGAAGGAAATCGCTGAAAGTGTGGATATCGATGAGATGAAAGATATGTTTATTGATAGAAACATTTTTAAAGAGTCGCTTTTTCAAGCAATTGCTGAGAGATACCCGGATAAAAGACAAAAGAGAGTTATCTCGCTTTTGACACAAATCCTTCCAGCCGGATGGTATGCTTGGATAACTTTAATTGACGTTCTGTATTGGCGTACCTTTTCATCATTAGCACACACATTATTGAATAAGGGAGAGGACAATCAATGGTTGGCTAAATCAATACCTTTAATGTTTCAAAAAGGTATATTTTATCATATTAGTTACTAAAGAATTAATAGAATAACATATTGGTAATCACTATAATCCTTGTGTTTGCTCATTGAGTATCTACTTTTTACATTGAAGATGTTTTTAAGGGGCATTAGCTTTCAAATTAATGTTTGTCGATTTGACTCTTATTATCAAATTCCGTTTATATCATTCTTAAACGTATATCCAAATTATTCAAAGTCTAAAATTAACAATTTACAATGCAAGAGCTCAATAATATGTTTAGCATTTCGTGTGTACTTTAGTCTAGACGCCATCTAATGAACCATCAAGGTGACCTCCGGAGACTTCCGACGGTCATATTACTTGGTATAGACATAAATATAGATATAAATGTATAGCGAACTCGTACAATTGGAGTTTTGTAGGTATGTGAATCATCTATATTACCTGTATAAAAATGTGGATCGAATCCGTCAACCAAATGGTTTACCATTGTTTCACTCTCAATAACATCGAGAAAGGAAATGGGGAATGTGTCAAAGAGACAACAACTCGACCAAAAAGGAGATAACAGCCGAAGACCAACAATGGGTCTTCAATGCAGCAAGAAAATCCCGCATCCAGAGCTCAATGTTGACATTCTCCTTCTTTTAATCATTAAGGTGGAACTATTCATTTGCCAGTTAATTATTTATCAGCGATGGTTATGGCTAATTTTGACAAAATTGAACAAAATTGGCTAAAGGTGGTACCAAACACCTTGACTAAAACCAATTTGGCTTGTTCAATTTTCATAAAATTTTGACAAAATATTTGCTTTGACCCGTTGAAAAAAAACATTTTCCAAACACTTTATTGGAAAATTTCATTGGATATTTAGCAGATTGACAATCATTAATTTTGATTATTGAGTAGCTTTTAATATAATATAATATATCTTAACAATGAACCGTTCAGCTGATTTTTACAGAGTTATCTCCCTGTAGTGTTATGTAACGCATTAAAACGATTTATTATTCCACTTTTTCACTTTCATTAATGATTGAACAAAACAAATCATATTTTCTTATTTTTATCTCGTAGCTAATGCCCCTTTGAGAATTCATAATAATCAAACTTATCTTACTGATGCAATAATAAATAGTCATTTCATTTTGACAAAATAAATAAAAAATCGTTTGAGAAGCATACACCACATGGTTCGGTCGCAATTACTTTCTTTTAACATTTACACTGAAGGGTCCGGTAATGAATACATATTTTGTTTGATATAAATCAACTGTCAGGTAACAAAGGGTTTCAACCATCTTGTTTCAGAAATAGAAAACGAACGTTCAACTGATTTTTATAGTTCGTTATTTTGTTGTACTGTTACACCACTGTCCCAGGTTAGGGGGAGGGTTGGGATCCCGCTAACATGTTTAACCCCGCCACATTCTTTATGTATGTGCCTGTCCCAAGTCAGGAGCTGTAATTCAGTGGTTGTCGTTTGTTTATGTGTTACATATTTGTTATTCGTTCATTTTTTGTACATAAATTAGGCCGTTAGTTTTCTCGTTTGAATTGTTTTACATTGTCATTTCGGGGCCTTTTATAGACAACGGGTATTGGCTTTGATTATTGTTGAAGGCCTTACGGTGACCTATAGTTGTTAATTTCTGTGTCATTTTGGTCGCTCGTGGAGAGTTGTTTCATTTGCAATTATACCACATCTTCTTTTTCATATGTTCAAATTGTTAGGAGGGAAAAAAAAAAGAAAATAATGCAAATCATTTGTAAGAAAATGGTGTAATTATATCTTAAGATAAAGTCTGTTTCTATAAAGACATTTTTAGTTTCGTTATTTCCAAAAATGGTTACGTAGTCTTATAAGAAGATATAGCTAAAACGATCAATAAATAACAAAAAGTTTTTCTAACCTGCCTCATCGCAAAAATATAATATAAGGTGACAATATTGTTTTTCGTTTTATTTTCTAATGTCATTTAATACAGGCTATCTCCTTATATCTTGAGTATTGAATACCACTAAAGCTGATTTATTGCATTATATTTCAAAACCGTCTTCAAAAATCTATCGATTAACACTTTTTCGTAAATTGTTTTTATTATAACAAGTATGAAAGTTATCAGGTAATTGAATAAAGAAAGATCCTCCCAAATTCTTATTGTCTATAAAAGAATATCAAATAAATATTACAGAATTTCATAGGCGTGTCAAACGAGATTGAAGATCAAAACAAATATTACAGAAAGAAAATACTTAGCACAATTTAACGACATATTCTGACTTATTCATTTACAATTGTTATTTTAAAAAAAGAACATTTACACACATACGGAAACAAAAACGACCAACCAAGATGTACAATAAAGGGGCATCTACGACATTTAGAAGTCTAGTAAATTCAATATAATTTATGGGCCAAAATAATACTTCACATAAAAGTTATTCCACTTTCACCCGGAACTCTTTGTTTCACACTGTTTGTATTTCAGATACATCAGACAGGATAGAAGATGCAGGTAAGATATATCTGTCTGTATACAAGTTTTGCATAAAATATGGATCTTTAAACAATATATTTGTTATGTTTGAAGAACGTGCTTCTTTCCAAACAAATTGGCATTCCTATGGTAATAACAGTCCTTTTCTTGACGACTCGTTCCTGTGTTAATATGAGGCAGTCTTTATACTTCTTCTTAAATAAAAAAAAGAAGCTAGTTTTATCCTTACAATTCTCGCTCTGCTATATTAATGGTGTCATTTCAATACATAGTTCATTATTCAGTGACATTTTAACAGCGGTTATGTCTGGATTATATTTCTTCAAGTTTATATGATATTCCAGTAATGACCTTGAGGCGTGGTTGCTTCTAACCAGGAATTAATGGATCTACATTCCTAGTGGTAAATTTTATGTCTTTTCTTTTTAAGTTTAAAAGTCTTCACTATGATTGTAAGTGGATTGGCCGCTATGGAATATCTGTGTCACAAATGACCATGAATATGTAGCAATTGTCATAGCCATTCTCCCGTCGTCTTTTCCTAGATTATTCCAACCCTGAAATACACTTTTACACCTAAATTCTTACGATGACCAATACGACAGTTGTCACATTCGGAGCAGGATCTGTTTAACTTAAAACGCATCTTAAGGAGGAGAATGAATTTTCAATTTTTTGCGTCTAGCAAATGATGATTTGTCAATTTTATTTACAGTTTTTAATATGAAATAAATAAATTTTATTTACAGTTTTTAATATGAAATAAATAAAATTAAGAAAGATCAAAATTTCAGTTGTGTTATTATAAAATGTAAGGGAAAGGGATAACACAAGTAAATTAATATGGCAAAAAAATACACCCCATTTTGACCAAGTGGATTGTGTTGATATTGAGTTTTCTTCGAAATATGGAATTAAAAAAAAAATTAAAGAAAATAATAGAAAATATTAACCTTAATAAAAAAAATCCATGACAATATGTTTCAAAATTACCCTATAAAAGCTGTTTGCTCTAGAAAATTAAGTATGAATTAACAGCAGTAATCAAAAAAATCAAACATACCTAATGTCCGGAGTCAGATGAATATATCATTGAACAGTAAGAAGAGATGATTTGTCACAACACCATTGTACATTATGCCTGATTAAGTGTGAATCAGGATGTTTTGCTTTATTGATTTCTTAAAGAAAAATAGAATTTTACATGCACATATCAGATAATACAACTTTAATATTTATTTTCTGGGATTTTCATTATATACTTCATATTAGACTGAAAGCCTGGAAAAATTTTACTACTTTTTCAGTGAAAATTACATGAATAACAAATACAAAAATTTAATTTATTATCAATTTTGATAAGAATGAACAAAAATATTTGGTATACTGAGTGTCCTGGAAAAAAAACAAGAAGCAAAATTTGTTTCAAGAACTAAAAACTCACCATGCTCACTAAACAAATGTATGTTAAAGTTTACATACTACATGAAATTAATTCTTGCTAGAAATTCAGTAATGCATAAATGTCGGTTAAATTAAATTACATTGTGCTGTTTCTGTAAAGAAACTGAGGATATTGTTTGTCATCTTTTCTGGATATGTAATCAAGTAAGAAAATATTAATCAAAATGTCAGCACTTTTTTAACATATATTCGATGCACAATTTATCATTCTTGTGTCAGAGTCAATGGATGTATCATTAACAGTTCTTTGGGTAAGTAAAATTCTTAAGTCGTTTATATACAATAATCTAAGTCTTCACTTAACTAAGAAAAACTGAAATAGGAAACCTTTCTCTATTACCGTTATGTATACGTTTGCTGATCTCATGTTTTCATAGGTGCAATATTTGATTTTTAATATAAACATTTCTTGAACAATGCATCCTTTTGAAACAGGCTGAAGTTTAATTAATATTGGTGTGTTATGTCCTTAACCAACTTAAATATATACACAAAAAACAAATTGGCGAGAAAAGGTTGTTTTGATGAACGGTCATGTGAAACAACAATGATTAAACAAAAATGCCCCTATCAATTTAAATGAATTTCATCATTTTCCAAAATCAAAGTTCAATCGGAATTCATTATATAAAGTTGCCCTACTGATACAACTATGTATTGTTTAAAGTCTATTTTCTGGCGCAAAAACTTTTAATCCTGGTATCTGGGATGATTGAAATGGTTGGGAATAATTAGCAATGAACAAACCAATATTACTAATACTATCATTTATTGATTAAATGGTAGCTTAACTTTTTCTCTTTCAGCAATACTGCATACTTTCTATGGATTTTAATTATTTTTGAAAAAAATAATTTATCATAAACCGCTACACATAAAGAAAATCGTATGCACTTTCTTAGTTTAAAAGGTAATATACATTCCACGTAAGTTGTGTAGACATTACAGCAACCAAATAAGTTTTTTTTTTAACGTAGGCGTTTACTAAAAAACTATTATCTTAAGTTGCTTGATGCATACAGGCCTTGCAGACTTAAAATTTGGAAGGCAATGTGTTGTCTTCATAGACCCATCAGCAGAGTATCGTATATAAAAAATTATTGATAATAATTAATTCATAGCAACTTTTTCAGAAACTTCTTCCACTTCTGACAAAAAAGACAAAACGGAAGATGCAGGTGAGACATTTTCATTTTTTATGAACTTTAACATGGCCGGTTTTTTTCAAGGTGATTTGTAAAGTCCTCGTTAGAAAGTATCCTCATTTGTTCCTACAATTTTCCTCAGAAAAAAGAAAATGTTTGCATTGAATTATTTTTGAAAGACAAATGGTTACCACAAATTGGGAATACAAAGACTAAGTTTAAATTCGTATTGTCATCAGTTATATGAGATCACAACCGTGACATTGCGGGTCCGCAACTAAATTAAAGTACCTACGCCCTATGTTTAGCCTTGATTTTTAGTATTTATAGTGTCTGATAAAGTCTTGTTGATTGTAAGTTGCACAGTTTTCTCTGCTTTTAAAATCTTTCTTTTTGGACAAGTCCTTGAAATGGTGTAATTTTAATCAACACAATTGTACTATAATGGTTATATATGAATTTGAAATCTTTGATTCGTTGTGTTTCAGCCATGCCGGCTAACAAATTGGACCTGGTTATTTCAGTAGTATAGATAAGACGCCAGTTTATATCCGGCTGTACATTCTGACGAAAGATATGTTTTATTCGACATATTTAATGATTTTTATTTCATTTTCTACATACAAACAATCTAAAGTTTTGAAATAAGAAATTGAAACACTACACATCACACATATTCTAAAAAACAATAGAAGTTATAATCTTTCTACGTATACTAATATAGGAAAATCAGAACAGTGAATTAAAATATTGCAGACATTGAATTATCTTTGATTATCTTTAAATTACCCCTTTTTGGTTTTATATTTTATATGTATTTGTTTACTGTAATTGGGTGTTTGTATGATATATCTGAGTATAGTATCACATTAAATGTACTGTTGTACTGTAACACCACTGTCCCAGATAGGTGGAGGGCTGGGATCCCGCTTACTTGTTTAAACCCACCAGACCATCTATGTATGTGACTGTAACAGGTCAGGAGTCTGTAATTCAGTGGTTGTCGTTTGCTGCTGTGTTTCATATTTGTTTTTCGTTCATTTTTTGTACATAAATAAGGCCGTGAGTTTTTTCGTTTTTCGTTCTTTTTTTTATACATTTATAAGACCGTAAGTTTTCTCGTTTGAATTGTCTTACATTTGTCATTTTGTGGCTTTTTATGGCTGACTATGCGGTTAAGGCTTTGCTCATTGTTTAAGGCAGAACGTTGACCAGTAGTTATAAATTTCTGTGTCATTATGTCTCTTTTGAAGAGTTGTCTTATTTGCAATCATACCACATCTTCCTTTTAATAATTATTATGTTTACTAGACATACTTGCATCAGGAATTAACTAGGAATTTCCAGCATGTTTTTATGAAACCCGCAGACAAATTTGAATTAGAACATTTATTAGCCGACTAAACGTTGCAAATACACTATGTATTGTTTAAAAAACCATTTTATGAATTTAAAGTTGACTCTTGATAGGAGTAATGGCTGAAAATGGCGATGTTTACTCTTTTTATGTATATGACAAAAACTATAGAAGGTAAAGAGTAACTTTATACAGCAAAATGTTCACATAGAAAGGATCTTGAAAAAGGTCAACAAAGCCGAAGTTTTCTGTCCTTTTCTGATAGTAGATATTTCCCTCAAATGATAATTATTTGCCAATTTGTTTGTATTTTGGGCATAACTGTGAGAAAAAAAATTGACAAATATCTGCAATACAAGATCAATAAAAAGAGATTTTATCCATGAATTATATTTTAATCTTTATTGAAAATTTACAAAAATCTTAAAAGAAAAAAAATAATACTTAACCAACTTAAATATACACACAAAAACAAATTAGCGAGAAAAGGTTGGTTTGATGAACGGTCATGTAAAAAACCAATGATTAAACAAAAATGCCCCTATTAATTTAAATCATTTTCATCATTTACCAAAATCAAAGTTCAATCGGAATTCATTATAAAAGTTGCCCTACTGATACAACTTTATATTGTTTGAAGTCTATTTTCTGGCGCACAAACTTTTATACCTGGCATCTGGGATGACTGAAATGGTCGGGAATAATTAGCAATGAACAAACCAATATTACTAATACTATCATTTATTGATTAAATGGTAGCTTAACTTTTTTTCTTTCAGCATACTGCATACTTTCTATTGATTTTAATTATTTTTGAAAAAAAAAATAATTTATCATAAACCGCTACACATAAAAAAATTGTATGCACTTTCTTAGTTTAAAAGGTAATATACATTCCACGTAAGTTTTGTGGACATGACAGCAACCAAATAAGTTTTTTTAACGTAGGTGTTTACTAAAAAACTATTATCTTAAGTTGCTTGATGCATACAGGCCTTGCAGACTTAAAATTTGGAAGGCAATTATTGTCTTCATAGACCCATCAGCAGAGTATCGTATATAAAAACTTATTAATAATAATTAATTCATCGCAATTTTTTCAGAAACTTCTTCCACCTCTGACAAAAAAGACAAAACGGAAGATGCAGGTGAGACATTTTTCTTTTTTGTGAACTCTAACATGGCCGGTTTTTTTCAAGGTGATTTGTAAAGTCCTCGTTAGAAAGTATCCTCATTTGTTCCTACAATTTCCCTCAGAAAAAAGAAAATGTTTGCATTGAATTATTTATGAAAGACAAATGGTTACCACAAATTGGGAATACATAGACTAAGTTTAAATTCGTATTGTCATTAGTTATATGAGATCACAACCGTGACATTGCGGGTCCGTTACCAAATTAAAGTACCTACGCCCTATTTTTAGCCTTGATTTTTAGTATTTATAGTGTCTGATAAAGTCTTGTTGATTGTAAGTTGCACAGTTTTCTCTGCTTTCAAAATCTTTCTTTTTGGACCATTCCTTGAAATGGTGTAAATTTTAATTAACACAATTGTACTATAATGGTTATATATAAAGTTGAATTCTTTGATTCGTTGTGTTTTAGCCATGCCGGCTAACAAATTGGACCTGGTTGTTTCAGTAGTATAGATAAGACGCCAGTTTATATCCGGCTGTACATTCTGACGAAAGATATGTTTTATTCGACAATTTTAATGATTTTTATTTCATTTTCTACATACAAACAATCTAAAGTTTTGAAATAAGAAATTGAAACACAACACAACACACACATTCTTGAAAACAATAGAAGTTATAATCTTTCTACGTATACTAATATAGAAAAATCAGAACTGTTACAGTGAATTAAAATATTGCAGACATTGAAATATCTTTGATTATCTTTAAATTATCCCTTTTGGTTTTATGTTTTTTATGTATTTGTTTACTGTAATGGGGTGTTTGTATGATATATCTGAGTTTTAGTATCACATTAAATGTACTGTTGTACTGTTACACCACTGTCCCAGATAGGTGGAGGGCTGGGATCCCGCTAACATGTTTAAACCCACCAGACTATCAATGTATGTGCCTGTCACAAGTCAAGGTAAGCGACACCAGCTCTTTGGAGCCACTGTTTTTTCTTTTTATCTAACTTAGAATTTAAAATATATAGTAGAATGAGCAATTGGGAAAATTAATAGCGAAACTAGCACATCCAAAATTTATCTTAATACACATGATACAAATGATGAGCTATTTGACATAATTCAGAATTTATAAAAAAAAAAAACATACCAAATAACCTACAGTTTCAGCGCATTAACACACCATTGCTCTAATTACCAATAAATTTGAAAACTGTATTTCCATTTTTTGTAGATAAATCATACAAATCCAATGAGAGCAGAATACAAGAATTGATTTTGAATGTAGAAACAAAAAGATTAGAGGTTGAAACAGCAAGATTAAACATCGAAAGACGAAAGTTAGAATTAAAAGAAAGGCAATTTGCTGAACTAGCAAGGGATTCTTCTTCGTTTTAACAATTCAATGTCAGTACAGTTTTTCATGTGACCATCTGATTTTATGTATATATGTGATTGCCTAAAGTAAAACAAACCTTGTTTAACTGAATTAAATGAATATTTAGTGATCAAACAGTAACTTTTGCAAAGAATTTCGAAGATATTTGAATTGGAGCTTACAACACACAAAACGATGACCAGGTATCGAAAAACAAAGTGACAAAAGAATCCTGTATACAGTAGTCCCTTTACCGTATCTCCATCATTGCGACAAGTTGAAAAAAAGTAGCAAGACTTGCAAACCTTGATTAATCTCTCAGTGACTCTTTTGTTTCTGAACATGAAAGTTCTGAACAGAGCATATCATCCATTGTTAAAAACCTGTTTTAAGTTATCGGATTGTGTTTGTGCTACTCTAGAAATTATAACTTTTTTCAATTTTATCTTTCCTTTCATCGCTGTAAAAGTCAAATAATCATATACTAGTACACACATTTGTATATAGATTTACACATTTAAAATTTAATCAGTGACTTTAGCCCAGGGGTTCGAGTACAAGTTGTGTTCTTCTACACTGAAATATTGTGAGGATATCTGTTTTTCTAAAATAAAGTTTTCTTTTATGTAATTTTGAAGTCCTTTTATATGAGGTTTGATATCTTGCATCATAGATCTGTATATGAAGTATTTTGTCAGTGAAATAACTTAATTTTTGATAAAATTCAATTTATGATTTTCATAGAGGCCAAAAATGTCAATATTCATATTTAGTGGACTTTCGATATGAACTATTTTGTAAATCCAAGAACTCAGATTGTACCAAATGTTGGCTACTGTGTGACAACTCCAAAGAAAATGTTCTATAGATTCTGGTTCTTCCTTGCAAAATGTTCAAAAATTACAATTTACAAAGTTTTTTTTAATGAGTAAAGCGTTTCTACCCAAATTATAATGAATAATTCTATATTGAAACCAATATACCATAGTGTTTTTTGAAACCTTGGTAAGACCAAATGGTATTTTTTCTACAACTTTATATAGGATACCTTCCCATTGTTTTCTGCTGCAAAATCTATAGGTTTAGTACCTCGGTTTAATATAGTATAAATGTCATTTGAACCCTTTTCTGACTTGAAGAAAATTTTAACATTAAAAGGCATAATATCCTTATGTTTATTTCTGTCTTTCAGTGTCGACTCCAATGGCTTGTAACGACTTTTTTACTGCAAGAATAATCCCACAAAACTGTAGAAACATGGTTTGATATTATATATCATTTTCATTTGTCAATATATTTCCATGTTCAACTAACAGGTCATTTACAGTCCGAATTGCACTGAGTATTAATGAATGTATACAGCCTCACTTACATGTACTAACCATTAAACATAATGAAGATGCATTTATTCTGAGAGATATTTAAATAAACACCTCTCACGATTTTTTTTTGATCGGATCTAAGTTTTATGTGATATTTAGTTCAGGTTTATATGCACAGCTTTTCACAAAATTTTTATGATTGCATTTGTATTAGTATGTCCAACATATAGGGCGATTAGAATATTTGTTCTGCCACGCTATTATTGTTCATGGATTAATATTTTTAAACTATCTTGTTTGTTGAAAGCTAATTCTAGATCGCTAACAATAAAGCTCTGTAACTATTTGAACAATGCATGGAAAGCTAGATCTTATATTATTGGTTAGTTATGTTATTATTGTATTGTTCTTTGTTATCAGTCTTTTGTCACATTGTGTATATATTATGTATTGCCATAGCATGTTCTATATGCTTTTGCAAATAAATATTCATTCATTCATTCATTCATTCATATCAACCTTAATCTTCGAATTCTCAACTTTGATATTGGAATTTCCTACTTAAATCCTGGAATTATCATCTTTAATCTTGTAATTGCCAACTTTAATCTTGGAATTATCAATTTTAATTTTGAATTTCGAACTTTAATCTTGGAATTGTCAACTTTAATCTTTTACTTCAAACTTTAATTTTGGAATTACTAGTATCAACTTTAATCGTGGAACTACAAGCCTCTATTTGGAAAAGGTTTACTTTCATTTTCATTAAAGAAGTTCCAAAACACGAATCAGTTTCCGAGGAGAATAGACGTGACGGAAGAAAGAATAAGAACCTTAAATACACAGAATGTAAGTCTTATAACCAAAAAGGTATGTAATTTACGGAAGCGTATTAGGACAATTTTTTTCTATTTTCTAAATTGTCGACTTTTATCTTGGAATTATCAACTGTATTCTTTGAATTTCCAACATAAGTTACTTGAATTTTCAATTTGAATCTTGGAATTATCAACTTTAATCTTTTGATTATCAACTGTAACCTTTCAATGACTGATATTTTACTTCTAGCTCATAGTTTATTGTATTTCTCAATATAAACTTAATCAACATATAATTTGCGGCAAATATTTTGGTAAAATGTAAAAGAAAAAAGGCATGTATCTAAAGTCATGTATAGCTTGACGTAGCCTAATAGGTGTAATACCACCATTGATTATCCCCTATTAGTCTTTGTTAAATTTGCACTTTTTAAAAAATTATACAGAATTTATCTTTGTTTCAAATAAAGAAATAATTGGAAGGAGTAAAGTTTTATCCTGTCCAGTACTATAGAAAAAAATTCACATAACATTTCATTGCATATAAGAAAATAACAATCACTGGAAGTTAACCAATCAAATTTCCCCCCTTATTTAACTTGTGTACAAGTTTTAGTAATTATGTAACCTCAAGTTTCCAAAATATTCTATAGAAACCGCAAACAAAAAAAAGTAATGGTGCTTTGAAATACCCAAGATATATGTTTTTGACCAAGAAATGTTTTACTGCAATAAAATGTAGGATTAATTACCTACAACTGTCAAATTCTAGGAAATATTTTTTTTCGACCTATTTTCGTATGCAACCGGATGTGACATACCATGATTTGGTGGTATTACACCTAATATTCATGAGGGATGTAACTTCCTAGTAATTGTTATACGTGGATAATGTTGATAATTCTAAGATTAAAGATGGACATTCCAAGACTAAGTTGATAATTCCAAGATTAAAGTTGACGATTTCAAAATTAAATTATATGTTTGATTATTCCAAGATAAAAGTTGATAATTCCAAGATCAAATTTTGAAAATCTAAGATTAAATTTTTAAATTCCAAGATTAAAGTTGAGTATTCCAAGATTAAAGATGATAATTCCAAGATTAAAGTTGAAAATTCCTAGATTAAAGTCGACAATAAAAAAAATAAAAAAGGATGGCCGTAATACGTTTCGGTACTACGCTAAGTTGACTCCCAAATTATATTTTCGGGAACTTATAAAGTGCATGTTTAGGATGTTCACTAAAAATCTTCAAAAGAAGAAACTGTGTATAACTAACGACGACCCCGTTAGGGTAAGGGTATCGGTTATAGTAGGTATTTGGTTTTTGAAATAAAAAAAATTAGTTAAAGTATGAATTAGTTTTGATTGATTGTTTCACGACAATCAGTGAATAATACAATGTATAAATACGATAACAATAATTATTGTACTTACTCCATGTAAACAGAAAAATATCCACAAACGACGATCCATTTTCATTGTAAACAAAACACCGATATGTACCATCATCAGAAGCTGTAATGTTATTTGTACTCAAAGAAGGTGTTTTTATGTTACATGTACCTACTGCCAAAAAAGGTTTGACCATTTCTTAACTAAATAACAGCTTTTAATGGCGGCACTGCAGTGACAATAGTGACCTTTCATTTCTACGTTATTCCCAATTTGTGCATTTACCATTGTGTCATTTGCAGTATTATTGGAATATCTGCAATTAGGTATTGATATTCAAAAGGAAAGATTGTGCATATTCAGGTACTAGAATACAATTGGAATGCAATATCAAAATAAGGAATTAAAGTATGGTTATCAATTAGACAATTATTCTTCAAAACGGCGAAATTACAAAAGATATGTTCAATGTTATTGTTGTTTTTCTGAAATTGTCTAACATATACCCCTTATTTTATTGATTTTGTATTTACATTGTGTCATAGATCATATTTATTCGTTCAGTTATATAAGGAAGCTATTAAACTAAGAGTTCCAAATGGTGAAGTTGAAATCATCCCTTCGTAAATTTTACGGACGCCATCACGAGTTGGTTGACCGTTATGGAATAACCGTTTCACAGATGATATCGGATATGTTTCTAACATCGTAACTACAATCCCTTTCCCTTTTCATGAATGTGACCTACCGAATTAGACTATTTACCGGGTTTGTAACAACATGAACAACACGACGGGTGCCAGATGTGGAGCAGGATCTGCTTACCCTTCCGGAGCACCTGAGATCACCCCACGACTTTGGTGGGGTTCGTCTTGCTCAGTCTTTAGTTTTCTGTGTTGTTTCTTGTGTACTATTATTTGTCTGTTTGTCTTTTTCATTTTTAGCCATGGGGTTGTCAGTTTATTTTCGATTTATGAGTTTGACTGTTCCTCTGGTATCTTTCGCCCCTCTTTTATTACCACTGGGTCGATGTCTCTGCTGGTGAACATTTTGTTCCCGAGGACATCATCCGCCCAGTAACAAAATTGCATGAATTTACGAAGATCTAACAGGACTCCTGGCTCGGATGTCGCCCAGTATAAAAAGGTCCGAAACAGAAGTCACCATGGCCACGGTGTCGTCTGATACGGCAGGTGTCTCCTCATCACCAGACATGACAAATATCAAAAACATGACTCATTCATATCATCATACTAGTGACAATAGCAATAATACACATACACAGCCATTTTCAGTTCTCCTTAAAGACATTTTAGATTTTGATGACTCTGAACAACATTGTCGCATTTCGAAATGTGCAGCCAAAGGCTGCAAAACTTGTGAAATTTTAATAACAGATGCTCAATTCGCTAGCAATTTAACTTAGAAGTCTTATTTTACCAGAAGTAACGATGATCTGAATTATAAATCTATAAATGTCGTCTACGGATCGATTAGAGTGTAACGTTTGGGGATTGGTATACGTCGGTGAAACGAAAGGAAGGCCATAGATCAGACATTAACCTCAATGCAAACGACATTCTTTACCAGCATTTTAATCAGCCTGATCATTCCATCGTTTCTATGACAGTTCGAATCATCGAAAAAATATACCACAGGACTAACAATCCTCATCTTGCAACGCCTCTCCGTAGACACAAAGAAGACTACTGGATTCGACGATTGGGAACTGCTACACCATATGGTTGCAATGACAAAATTTATGGTATAGGTATTCTATCTAGTCCTTCGTGTAGCTCGGTGAATGTGATGATTATTTTCAACTCTACTCCTCAACGTAGACGCAGTCATGGTCATCGTTATTATACATTACCTACTCTGCATGATGTCTCTATTAATGACTTGCTGCCATTTATACAAAAGCCGTTAGGTATTCATCACATTCGCACGAAACTTAATTCGTTACCCCTTTCATAACTTCATTCTCTGTTCAATTTATGTTTGGAAACCACTGTTACAAACCCTCATTCAAACCAATACAAAATTACAGCTATCATTTCGGATATTGCAAGTCACAGACTTTTCAAACCAGTTCGCATTGGAAAAGATGAAAAGAGAAAATATAGTTTCTTAAACTTTCCTTTGCCAACAAAGGTCTCAATGGCGTCATGTTAGGCAATATCCTTCATCATAAATTAGTTCAGTCGAAAATAACTCCTTATTTCAAAGATCAGTCAGTACCAATCATTTCTTATACCTATACCAAACCAATTGCAACTAAAATTTTCAATTACAAACACGTTTTGCAGGATCTCAATATTGACGACTTGAACTCATAACCTCCTGATTGCACTTGTGCTAGTTCCCAATTCACATATAATCTGGCTGGTCACGTTATTACCGGTAACCTTAACATTGTCAATAACACTTCCCTGCGAAATGTGTTATCCAAAGATCCGAAATATCGTGAGTCTAAATCCATCAATTGGAAATACAACTTCAAAATACTGATGGATCCAGTCGAGTATTATGCCAGGCAATGGGCTAAGCGCGAGAAGGAAGACGTAGATATTCTTTCCAAATGGATTAAGGCTGTGAGGTCGTTGATACAAATCAGAATTAAGAAAATGAATGGGTCTATTAATACCCATGCTACGTCAATCTTTAAAGACCCGAATGTTGCAAAACTCTTGTCCTACCTCCATGACAAATATGTTGTTGTCCCCGCAGATAAAGCCCCAAACAACATCGTTTTTGTGTGTAAAAACTCATTACATAGACTGCTTGAATGAATTAGGTATTCACAATTCACTTGGAAACTCAACATATATCCTCACGACACTTACTTAGTAACAAAGAGGAAATCCAAGATAATCATAGGTCTGTTCTATGTTCCTTTGGAATTTCAACCAAAGATGAAGAACTGGATCTTCCATCACTGTATTGGATAGCTAAATTACATAAGTGTCCTTACAAACAACGATATATTGCTGGGTCTTCCAAGTGCTCCACGAAACCTCTTTCTAAATTATTAAAATCTATTTTATCAGCAATCAAAGCGGGGCTTCAAAGTTATTGTGAAACTGCCTATTCTAGAGGTGGCGTGAATCAGATGTGGATACTAAAAAATTCCAAAGATCTTTTAGAGTACATACAAACTAAGACTCTTTCATCTTGCAATAGTATTAAAACATTTGACTTTTCTACACTTTACACAAGTATTCCTCATTCCAAACTAAAAGACAAATTGAAAGAGTTGGTATTGCTTTGTTTCATAAAAAAAGAATGGCCACCGTAGATACAAGTATCTTGTCTCAGGGAGGGATAAATGCTACTTTGTAAAGGATCACACTGATTCAAACAAACAATTCTCTGAAACTGACATTATCAAGATGCTTGATTTCTTAATTGACAACATATTTGTTACGTTTGGAGGACGTGTTTTTCAACAGACTGTCGGCATTCCAATGGGAACCAATTTTGCACCCCTTCTTGCCGACTTGTTTCTTTATAATAATGAGACTGACTTCATACAGGAACTTCTTAGGATGAAAAATAATAAGTTAGCAATATCCTTTAACTTTACTTTCCGCTATATAGATGATGTTCTCTCACTAAATAATTCAAAATTTGGTGACTATGTTGAACGCATCTATCCCATCGAACTAGAGATAAAGGATACAACAGATACAGTTAAGTCTGCCTCATATCTTGACTTACATCTAGAAATTGACAATGAGGGTCGATTGAAAACAAAACTTTACGACAAACAAGATGAGTTCAGCTTCCCAATTGTGAACATTCCATTTCTATGTAGCAACATTCCAGCAGCGCCTGCATACGAAGTATATATCTCCAAATTCATACAATACTCCCGCGCTTGTATTTCCTATCATGATTTCCTTGATAAAGGTTTGCTGCTCACAAGGAAGCAATTAAACCAAGAGTTCCAAATTGTGAAGTTGAAATCATCCCTTCGTAAATTTTACGGACGCCATCACGAGTTGGTTGACCGTTATTGAATAACCGTTTCACAGATGATATCAGATATGTTTCTTTCGTCGTAATTACAATCCCCTTCCCTTTTCATGAATGTGACCTACCGAATTAGACTATTTATCGGGTTTGTAATAACATGAACAACACGACGGGTGCCACATGTGGAGGAGGATCTGCTTACCCTTCCAGAGCACCTGAGTTCACCCCAAGTTTTTGGTGGGGTTCGCGTTGCTCAGTCTTTAGTTTTCTATGTTGTTTCTTGTGTACTATTTGTCTGTTTGTCTTTTTCATTTTTAGCCATGGCTTTGTCAGTTTAATTTTCGATTTATGAGTTTGACTGTTCCTCTGGTATCTTTCGCTCTTCTTTTATGTACACTTAAGTTAATATGTCTTTTGATTGAGTTAAGCCTTTTCAATTGATATTTTATAGTGACTGTGTGTCTTCCTTTGTTGTGACTTTACATTATTGTTTCAGATAAGAGTGAAGGTTGGTACCTATTCAAACGTGTAAACCCGCTGTATTTGTTTACACCTATCCTTAGTCAGGAATCTGATGATCAGTAGTTCTCGTTTCTCCATTTTATTTAGATCAGACCGTTGGTTTTCCTGTTTTAATGGTTTTCAGTAGTCATTTTTGGGGCCCTTCTGCTGTGGTTTAATGTCGCTACTAACTTTAACGAGTTGTTTTATATGTATTTCCTTCTTACTAATTAAAAGATTTGCTTTCGGTCCCGAGATCAGTATCAATTTTACTTTGTATAAAAAAGAGACAAGTACAAATATTTCTATTTTTATTTTATTTTTAATTAGTAATCTATTGAATAATGACTTATTGAACGCATGACTACCTACATTCAGTTATAAAAACATTGATATTATAAGAAAAAAGGAAGAGAACAATATTCATACACTCATTCATTCTAAATTCAAATATAGATATGAAAACAAGGAGATGTG